GGACACCAGTTTGTTGAAGGCATGTCTAACCAACATATTTTGGTACAATGTTCAAGATAAAGTTGAGAGATAATGCAGGTACTGTGTGAAATGCACATGGTAATACAGACAGTGTATTTCAGAACCTGAAGTTCCATGTGGGAGAGTGCACAAGAGCATGGACTGAATGTCTACAAGGAAACTAAATTGAGAGGTGGCTGGTGTGGTTTGTGGTTGAAGGGGACTTGGGAACACAGTGGAGAACTGGTACGATGTGATTCTATAACAACAACACCAAGAGATGAGGCAATTCGAGTCAGGCATGCTTGCATTGCACATATGAGAAGTCTGGCATGAGGAAACAGTAGGAAGCATGTAGGTAGACTGAAAAAACTAGAAGCCTGAATAGAAATGTAAATGAAAACACTCTGTTTTCAGGCTTTTAATACTTTCCGGAGCACAGAGGAATTCTGGCATGAGGAGAGCTCATGATAAACTTGCAGGTGAAGAAGACAGTATAATGTGGGGAGCTAGTAGGAAGGAAGTTGGTGGATTTGGAGCATATTGGGAATGGGATATGTAGGTAGCAGGTAAAAAGTGTGGGTGGAGAGCAGGCAGAGAGCATGCTCAGAGTTAATTCCCCTGAATTCCATTCTGTTTAATTGCTTATTAAATTCTAAGCAGCCAATTATCAGCAGCAATTACAGCTCTGCACAGTGACACAATCGCCGCTTTAGCATTTGTTAATCAAATGCTTATTTAGGACTCAGCTTTATTAGCTGTTGCTGAAGGGAAAAGCCCAATCCCTCAGGCTGGGGGAGAGAGCTTGAGAATTTTCCCTCCATATTCTTATCTTCCATAATATGTCTCCAGACTCTTCTCTCCCTTGGGATTTGAAATCTCCCCTTACATTGCAATATGTCCTTTAGAAGCATGAAGCACTTCAAAGCCATGGGGGGAAAAGTAGCCATTAGATGGCTTAAAGGAATGATAGCAGTTGAGGACATCAGGGATGATGTATTCACTCATCACATGAGACCATAATTCAGTTGCAGCACACCTACTTTATATGTAGAAAGTCCCAGGTTAAATCCATGGCATCTCCAGTTAGAAAGAACAGCAGGGCCAGGTATTCCATGCAATGCAGCAGAATGAAGCAAACTACTTTAAGGAAGTCACTAATGTGGAAGGAAAGGGAAAGATACATGAAAGCAAGAATCAGTGTCCAAATGCTACAAGCAAGACTTCTTAAAATGTTGGCCTTAGTGAAGATAAGGAGGCTGATTTGGGCTCAGTTTGAAACAACAAAATGCAAAACTGGGAAAAGTTACTTTTGGGGCTATTTTTGAACTATACCTGGGAGAATTTCTCTAAATTTTGGGGTATTCTGAGAGCTATTGTCCAAACTAATAGCAACAACATTCACATGCTCTTGAAAAAACATCAGGAAACAGATGATAGTAAAGGCCTTCCTGACCCTGGATAGTTACTATTACCAGTTGAAATAGATCAACCTATAACTTCCATCTTCCACAGCTGCTAAAAGGTGATAGGATGTGTAGTCTAATATATCTGAAGAGCAATAGTGGTGGGGAAAGTGGCAATAGATAATACTGGGCTAGCTGAATACAGTACATAGTCTAACTTGGTATAAGCCTGCTTTCTTTGAAATGATGCAATGCACCACGAGAAACTGGAATTTATGCAGCAGGAAGCAAGGCCTGAGGGCCTTCAAAGAAGCAGCAAACCTTGCCCACTGGCATCATAGAGCCTTTCCTTGGAATATTGTGGCTGCATTGTCTTGGAGCAGGACTTCTCTGTTTCAATCATATTTGGGCAACTACAATCAAGGACAGGAAATTGCTCCAATGAAGAGGCAGTGGGATGATAATACAGCCACTGAAAGATAATTAGTTCCACTTTTAACTTTTCTTCAATAGCAAGAATAGTAGCTATATATATATTTTCCGTTGCATCTGAGCATGAGAGAGGAACAGTTCTGGTTGTGAACAGATGGCTAGCCAAAATATGTAGTGTCCATCTGTACATGGAGAGCCAAAATGGAGTGCATGCTCTTAAGAAAATAATGCATTTTATTTGTTTATACTGTAATGGCTGGAATCCTTGTTGTTGAGTTACAACATAACATTACGCTGCTTAAATGTGCTGGGCATTCCACCCCAATTGCGCAATCGGTTGGGTGGTTCCCATTTCAACCAACTATGCAATATCCTGGCAGACGTGCTTCGTAAATAGCACTTCTGCCTTGGCACAGTTGCTCCTAATGTTGAGTTACATAGCATAGCTACTCAATAGGATTTCAGCCTATCTTACTTTATCTTAGTTACTATTTTTTTTCATAGCTATAATACCATATTATAATTCCACACAAAACCTTAAAAGCAACCACAAACTAAAGCACAATTAAAAACATAGAGTTACACTGAGTGCGAAGTCCTGCTGTACAGAATACTATCTTGGGGAAAGACAAAGTATATGTCTCACACAGGCATAATTATATGTGCATGTGCGAGATCCAGAATGTTTAGATGGACTTGTGTATCATGAAAATGTCTATCTATTCTTTTGGAAATCAGACAAGAAAGGACATCATTTCTTGTAAAGTTGCTTAGCTTACAATCTAATAAGCAAAACCACTGCCACGCAACATTAGGAGGAAAAGCTGTCTTTAATGTGTGCTCTTTCTCATCAGTTTGACAGTCTAGTAAATAATATTCCTTATGATAGCAACACATTAGAGCCAAAGCATATCTTAATAAGTTCAAATCACATCCATGCTAAGGATCCAGATTCAAAAGAGGTATTGGCACTGACACTACCAATGCGCTGTCACTGTCTACAGTGTCTACTAGAAAGAAAAGCTGCAGACTTACAGGCTTCACCCCAGAATGAAGAATATCTGCTAGTTTTAGATACAGACCAGAAGAAAAGTCACTTCTAAGGTTTATGTTAACTACATTTGCCCCAGGGAGGAAGGAGATGATGTGTTGGTGCAACTGCAGCATGCCACCTGCAAATCCACTCAGAGGATATGGCTTTTTTTCAAACCTATGGCACCAAGTGGGGACACATCTATTGAATTTTCATCCCTACCACCCCACAACATCCTTTGTACATCCAACTGTCCTGCCTGCTTTGGGACAAAACCAGGCTCCCACATCAGGTAGGAGAGACTGTCAAGCATCTCAGCCTCACAAGTTAATCAGGAGCAAATGTTAACCTGTGGTTAAAGATTATTCAATTGATCTACTGATTAGATTCATCTAAGTTTGGAGATCTAGGCAGACTATTGAACTAGGACTGAAAATACCTGAGGTGGGTTTCGAGCCAACTTTCTGCTGCAGATGTTTGGCATGCTCATGAGTAAGACATTTTTCTTAAACCTTTTTCTGATCTGTCGAATGGAAATAAAATCTGCTCCCTTCAGCAGAGGGATCTTGAGAGCACAGCTAACCAAAACATTGCTGCTTATTTCTTCTATAGTATTATACTTTTATCCCACTCTCAAATAAGTACCAAGTCAGCATATTTCTTTGTTTGTTAATTAGATGTATCTCCTATCTTTATTTCAGTGAGCTAAAGATACAGTAAATGGGTCTCCTATTTCATACTTCATTGTCACAACAACCTTGTGAGTTAATCCAAGAGAGTGTGACTGGTGCAAACTCATACTCCAAATTGTGGCTGATGTAGAATGCTTGCTTGTGTGGTTTATATGTTGTTGTTTTACATTAAGCATGCAATAAAATGTAAACTGCAGATTACAATAAAACTGTTATAAAAGCACAGTGATCATATGAGCCCAGAATCCCCTTATCTAAGGGTCAATCTAGATTAGATGGCAGGAAATCAGATCTCCATGTTATTGTTTTTTTTTTAAAGCCAAATAGAATTGGTACGGAGTAGAATCAGATTGGAACTGCAGTGCAGCAGTGGGAGGACGATTCCAACGTTTTTCTTACATCTTTCATATATCATCTAGAATTGCTGCTCACTCTAATGGCAAAACATGTGAAGGTATCACGTAATGTAATGTGTCATGTGGTGGGAGAAACACAAAGGATGAAGCTTATCCACATGGTCTAAATACTCCCCAATAGTATGGGATCACTGGACACAGAATTGCTCCTTTTCCATTTGCAGTTTCAGCCTTAGTAGTAGGTAGGAAAGAGTGCCTGCGTCAGCCAGCAGATTTTGAGTATTATGGAAGGGCAGAAAATGGGTAGTTATTTATTGCCTCCATGCTGTGAAGAGCTACTTATAGAATATTCTGATTCATTTGTCAAAATAGTGTGACTGGCTTTAGATGCTATTGATAATTCATTGGATGTAGGGGTGGTGGTGGTGGTTTCTGACATTTGCTACTCTTCCTCAAGAAGCAAACCATCTTGGGCAGGCCTTACCTCTGTCTGTCTGTCTGTCTGTCTGTCTGTCTGTCTGTCTGTCATGGGGAGGGGTTAGAATTCAGGAACCTCCTGTACTGTATATTTAACAGTGTACAATATCATGAACTTTCTCTTGGAGACACACCATGAAGCTTAAGAAGAGGTATTGATGCTGACAGGTGATTGTACTGCCGTTGAGGGAGTGAGGCTGAGTTGGGCGAGGAGGGCATGGAAATAGCAGCTGACTGGCTTGATGCCTCAGAAGTAATGAGGGGGAGGGGGATGGGGGAGGCAAAATACCAAGGTAGAGTAGCAACAAAAGGGGGTTGAGCCTTATAGGTAGGGCGCCCCATGGAAAGAAAGATGGGGCTCTCTTGTACCTTTAACGATTGCTTACAAACCTGGATTTTTAGCAGGCTTTCTTTATCACACTGTAATGCCGCAGGAATAAGAGTACCTGCAAGAGCTGTAAATTCCCGTTTATACCCGTACAAACATTAAAAGCCGGGGAGGCCTGTGCCCCCTTACATCAAGTCTTCCTGCTGACGAAGAAGTGAGGAGAAACAAACGACGGCAGAGATGAGATGAGGAGGCTGGGAAAGTGAGAAGCAGAAGCTGCGGATGCAAGGGGAGAAGCTCCAGCTGGGAGGGATTCATTTGGCAGTGCGTTTTGTGTGGCCTGGCAACTCGCCCTTCCCCCCCCCCACCTCACGTCTAAGGCCTCTGGCGGCTGCCTGGCGAGGAGGGGGAGCCGAGCCGCCCCCCTGAGTCTAAGGAAAGAGGCCCCGCTTGCCCACCAACCCCCACCCCCAGGCCCTCCGTTTGACAGGTGGGACCCTCTTCTCGCTCAGCCCGGCCCGGGTGCCGCCGAAGGGGGGGGAGGCCCCGCCTTGCCCTGCCCGGCCCAGGCGCCGAGTCCTCCGGCGGCGGCGGCGGCAATCAGCGCTGGTGGAGCAGAGGAGGGGCCAGAGGGGAAGGAGCGGGATCAGCGCAGCCTGGCATGACGAGACGAGGCCCCCGGAGAAGTGAGCTATGTCCCTTATTGGTCACACTACATTTCTTTTTCATTAGCAGTTAAATGCAGACATGAGGGATCGGCGCAGGTTCACTGGGCGCCTGCCGTGCAGCATTTCCTGCCGTGATGGATTAGCCCCGGTGGAGGCTGCGGGGTAGGGATGGGGGAGCCTCTTGCAGCAGCCCCAGCTGTGCAGGCCTGGTGCGGGGGGGGGCGGCCCTCCGGGATGTATCCCCGAGGAGGAGGAGAAGCAGAGGCAGAGGCAAGAATTGAGAGGGAGAAAGAGAGCGAGGCTCACAGTGGCAGGGCATGGGAGAGGGGCGACTTCCATATCGCACATGGCTATGTCTTGCGAGTAGCACTAACGCCCGTTTTCGCAATATGTCTGGGAGATGCGAACACGTTTCCCCAATGTATCTATTTGGTTAGCGAACAGTTCTTCTCTTTTATTATGGGATTGAATCTAAAAACCTTGTCAGTGCTTTCAAAACCTCTGAAATTATAGTAACTAAGCACTGTATCTCTTTGAAACACGAGAAATCATCCAAATATAGGGCATCTGGATATTGAATAGTGCAATCCTATGTATGCATGCAGAAGTAAGTCTCTTTGGATTCAACTACCCTCTTCCTCTCTGGTAATTAAGTGTAGGATTGCAGCCTATATATATTTGGTGCTGTGGCAAAATAAAAAAAATTGAAACTAAAGGTTTGACTGTTGAGTTAAATGGGGAGCTGGTTTGAGTTCTTTAATATCGATATAATAGCCCATAGTTTCTGTGTGGGGGGGAGGTGTCCTCATGGAAAACATCCCCATGTCTTGCCTTTACAGTATGTGGTAAGTAGACAGGGAGAGTGGAGTCTCTAAGGCTTCCACTTGATGAAGGCTTTTTTTCAGGCTGGTGAACAGGGTGGGTAAATGGTGGTGCTTCCTCCATGCTCTGAAGGCCGGCCAGCCCCACGTTCTCCAACCACCAAGAGTTCTGCAGATCTGATAAGGAGTCCACCTTCTGGCAAGAGGGAGTTTCCAGGAAGTGTGTGTGGGGGGGGAGAAGGAATCACAAAAGGCCTAGTGCAGCTGCAGGGATGATGACATTTTTAATATTCATTTTTTAAAAAAGTTTTGAACTGGCATAATGCTAGATCAATGCAAAGATAAAATAGAAGCAGGTTTTCTTTTTTAAAAAGGGAGATTTGGGACTGCAGGTTATCCTGCAGTCTAAAACCTCTTGTATTTGGCACCTGTTTTTGCAAACCCTATAGATTCCCACAGACAGTGTTTACTCCAACTCAGGCATTCACACATGCCAAAGCGATTCATAATAAATCTCATTCATAATTTTATTAAAGAGAACATGGGTGTTAAAAAAAAAACTTCCAACAACAAAAAAGCCCCTGCTTAGTTGTACATCATGTATGAAGAATTTTTAAAATTGATTTCAGGCTTACAAAGCCAGGAGTCTTATAATGTGTAGCTGTGCTCTAACGAACACCTTTAGTGGTATAGCTCAGTGAGGGGGAGCACTTAGGTGTGGAGTCAGGAGTTTGATTCTGTATTGTGCCTTGTAGAATAACAGCCAGCCTGTGTGGTCTTGGACAAGCTGTACGGTCCCAGAGCACCCCCAGAAGATGGGAATGGTAAATAGCTTCTGAGTGCTCTATATGTAGAATACCCTGGGAAGGGTCACTGTAAGTCAGAATCAAAGACATGTAGGAATAATTATATTTTCATTTCAAGTTCCTTGTTGTCTATGCACCAGCACATTTTATCACTGTTATGTTTCTGACCATATGGCTTGCACCCTCCCAAGCATAGGCAACAATCCGATATTTTGTAACAATCTCTAACCACATAGATCCAATCTAATTTTACATTTTACTCCAACAAAAGCCAATGGCAAAACTGGTCAGTATTTTTGTGTAATGTGCGACCAAGTTGGAACCAACTTACAGTGACCATAAATACTTTCAATGTAAGTGAAATATCTAGGGTGTGGGTTTTACCATTGCCACCCTCTTTCTAGATTAATTGTGTTTATATCTTGCTTTTTCTCCAAGGAACACAAGATGCCATTTTATCCTCATAATAACCCCCTGAAATAGGTTAGGCTGAAGGATATCGACTGCCCCAAAGTAAACCCCAAATGAGTTTGTTGCTGACTGGGGACTTAAACCCATGTCTCCTGAGTTTTAGTGACATATTTTTAACCACTGCACCTTGTTGGCTATATTGCTGTAATTACAGAAATATAAATTGCAGATATTTTTTTATCACTTATTTCCAGAGTGAACTTTTGGTTTCCCAAAAGGAGACAGAGCAAAATTTAAGGCATAGAAATGGGAGTCTCAACCAAACTTTTGAAAAACCACTGGAAGACTCTAGTAATTATCATCCAAAAAAAGTAACTTTCCCAAACTCTGGTTTAAATATGTTCATCAGTTCTGTTTGCAAGTTACAGTAATGCCAACAGGTTGTTCTTTTTTCTCTACATAACACATTGACTGCTTGATTTTGAACAGGGGATTTGGGGTTCATCCAGGAAGATGCTGAGAGCATCAGCAGAACAATAGGGTGGGATTCAAGGATGTTGTGGTTCAAAGCCAAAGTGGTGAGGCAGTCCCAAAGGCTACCAGAGCTGAGTTTTCTAAACTTGCTGGCATCTTGAGTGTACCACTTTAACAGTGTTATCTTTTAAGATTTTAAATAGTTCCATTGGAATGCCATCACCTCCATTGGCCTTGTTCTTAGCCATGCTTTCTAAGGCTCACTTGAATTCACTCTCCAGGAAGTCTGGCTCAAGGTCAGCAACCACAACTATTTGGGTTGTCCAGGACATCCAGATCTTTCTGGTGTAATTCCTCTGTGTACATATTCCTGCCACCTCTTCTTGATTTGTTCTGCTTCTGTGAAGTCCCTACAATTTTTGTCCTTTATCATGTCCATTTTTGCACAAAATGTTCCTTTAACATCTCCAATTTTCTTGAACAGATCTCTGGTTTTTCCCTTTCTATTAATTTCCTCTATTTCTTTGCACTGTTCATTTAAGAAGGCCCTCTTGTCTCTCCTTGCTATTCTTTGGAAGTCTGCATTCAATTTTCTGTAACTTTCCCTATCTCCCTTGCATTTTGTTTCCCTTCTCTTTTCTGCTATTTGTAAGGCCTCGTTGGACAGCCACTTTGCTTTCTTGCATTTCCTTTTCTTTGGGATGGTTTTTGTTGCTGCTTCCTGTACAATGTTATGAGCCTCATCCATAGTTCTTCAGGCACTCTGTCCACTAAATCGAGTTCCTTAAATCTGTTCTTCACTTCCATTGTGTATTCATAAGGGATTTGGTTTAGATTATACCTGACTAGCACAGTGTTTTTTCCTACTTTCTTCAATTTAAGCTTGAGTTTTGCTATAAGAGGCTGATGATCAGAGCCACAATCAGCTCCAGGTCTTGTTTTTGCTGTTGTATAGAGCTTCTCCATCTTTGGCTTTGGTACGTATTTCATATACACAGCTTTAAAGGAGCCATACGTACAAGTAGTATGCCACAAAAGTTGTCAGTTTTCTGTTTGGAATATATATACTGTACAGTCAAGTATCAACATAATTATTAACAGTAGGCATGCCCATTGATATATAGTAGAGCACATGTCCGCAGTCGGAGGTTCACCCATACTGTCAATGGTAAAGCAGTAATAGAACCCAATATACAACCAATAAGCCCTACTGTGCTGCAATCACTTGCAGACATTTGCATTAAAATGGATTCCTTTCACCTTTGGCCACTGATTTAACAGAAAGTGACACCTTACAGCAATGTATCACATTGGGTTATACAATTCTTTTCATTTCCTTCATTTTCTGGAAGTGTTTCTAATGTTTCCATGACCTCCTAAAATATTAATTGCTACTGGTAAATGTCAGTGATTGAGAATGTTTGACATTTGCTGCAACCTAGACCCAGCCCTTGTAAGGGAAAGGCCATTGGGGCTTTCCACTGGGCCCTCATCCCTATGGTATTTGTTACATATAGAAAGCCTAAGAACATGACCATTCCTTTTGGCTATGGGGACAGCAGCATGGCTGAGAGCTTTTGCTACAGTTACTTTCATTAATGTTACAGACCAATTAACTGAGTAATTAGTCAAGGTCCCCAAAGAACTGCTGCTACACTGATTACAGTGAAAGAAAAAGGACGCTTTGCCCTTTAACAAAATAAGTTTGATGTTGGAGGACTGTGGGCCTGATGGCCGGGGAAGCAACAGCGCCATAACCTTCAGTTGTGGAATAAAGGGCTATGCAATCTCAGCAAAGAATAAATTAGATCTACTGCAGGGGTGGGCAAAACACAGCCTGCAGGCTATATTGCCCCCTTTCCTGCATTCAATGTCATGGTATTGGGTTGTTGTTTTTTTAAAATCCAAATTAAAACAAGGCATAGTGTGTGTACTTGCTTTTAAGAGAAGAATCACAACCCAGAAGTCTCTCAGGAGCATGATTTTCCATTAAAACAGTGTACGCTCTCCCCACACACTTTGTGTTAACTCAGATTTTTGATGTGCAGTTTTGTTCCTGTGCTGCTGCCCAGTTCTTGCAGTGTATCGTGGGATGCAGCGCGCGGGTGGGTATAGCCCCTGACAAATTTATGATGTTGGAGCCCAGACCCGTGTATGTATCCTACCTTGATCTAATGGAATCTGCACAGAGTCCATGGTGGCAGCATCATCCTTGAGCATTCTAATTCTACTGTGCCAGTTTCTAACCAACTCTTCCTCTTTTTTGTTTTGCTCAGGTGCCCAGCAGAGTGCCACAGTGCCCATCCCTGTGCCTGGCTCAGCTTCTGACTTGCTCCCTCACTTCCTTCTGGAGCCTGAGGATGTTTATATTGTCAAGAACAAGCCGGTGACACTAGCTTGCAAAGCTGTTCCTGCCACCCAGATCTACTTCAAGTGCAATGGGGAATGGGTGCACCAGGGTGACCACATCATACAACGCAGTAAGGATAAAAGCACTGGTGAGTGTTTAACAAAGGCATCAAGTGGGTCACAGAAGCATTTATGTTTCCATGGCTATATGATTGACTCCTGACTTCTGTCCCAATACTGATTTGGCTTTAGGAGGATCTCGTAGGAGGACACGTCTGTCACACCCATCTAAGTTAGCAATGTAGAGCTTGGAAGAGTTACCTTTTGGAGCTACAGCTCCCATAGTCCTTCAGCAAGCATGTCAATTGGGGATTGTAACCCAAGAATTAACCTTTCCAAGCTCTGTTTTGGAACTTTGTTCTGGGTCTTATATTTTTAAATAAAGTACATTTGCAAAGCTTATATAGCACACACATTTTCAGTTTCTTTTGCTTTACATAATTTATTCCATAATTGTTGTCATTTTACACAATTTAGTCTGCTTTTGCTAGTCAAGGGCAAAGGAAAGAAATGTTGTGCCCACCTCACCAATCTATGTTAAATGAACTACAAATCCTATCACTCTGTACATGTCCTACACTTCTGCAGAAGGCAGCACACACCTCGCCCTGTCTAGAGCCCTTCCACTCTTTGATCTCTCTTCCCTTTCTTCTTTGCCTTCTGGTGTCCGGCAGGCCTGCCCCTCATGGAGGTGCGGATTGACATCTCACGGCAGCAGGTGGAGAAGATCTTTGGCTTGGAAGAGTACTGGTGCCAGTGTGTCGCCTGGAGCTCTTCTGGCACCACCAAGAGTCAGAAGGCGTATGTGCGCATTGCTTGTGAGTGACACTCTGCTGATCCTCCTGGCTGCCCAGGATCCTTCCTAGGGCCTAAGGTCACCCACCGCCCTATCCTTAAGCTGTTTCCCCACAACCTTTCCTCTTGCCAAGAGGCTCTTTTGCCATTCAGTACGATTGATGGGTAAGTCACCACCTGAATTCTGCAGCTGGGAGCTGGAGCATAACCATTGAGAGTAGTTGAATAGATAGTGACTGATTGAGCATTGGTGCTGATGGGGAGTAAATGAGCCTTTGCCAGCAGAGAAGTAGGTTCCCATGACACCGCGTCTTTGGTATCCTTATTGTCTTGTTCTGAGCTTCCTCTTTTTTCTAGATCTGCGGAAGAATTTTGAGCAGGAGCCAGTGGCCAAAGAGGTCTCTATTGAACAGGGGATTGTGCTGCCATGCCGCCCTCCAGAGGGGATCCCACCAGCCGAAGTGAGTATTGACCCTCTGTGCTCCTTCTTGGCAGTAGCAGGAAGCTATTGGGTCCGAATGGTTCAAAGCCCAATTATTTTGGTACAGCCAGAAAAGATTGATGGGATCAATACAAAAGGCGGTACCCACCTCCCAGGTCTATCTTTGCCATTGTGTGGTGGCTGTGGAAAATCTAGAGTGGGCTCATGGTAACCCACTATCTTCTGCATCCATCACCACTGCTGCTTGATTGATTGATTACAGCTTATCTCTCTGTAGAGCTCATTAACTCACTTTTTCGGAGCCTCTGTTGGGGCTGCCTCTGGTGCTGACTAGCCTGTCAATCTCTGTCCCTCACTAGGTCAGTGCCAGCCAAGATGTGTTTCCCTCTGAGACACGTTGCAGTCACAGTATCCTTACAGGCTTTTGTGCAGCCTGACCCCAACCCTGCCCCATGTGTGGCTTGTGTCTCCCCAAGGTTGAATGGCTACGCAATGAAGAGCTCGTGGATCCCGCTCTGGACTCCAATTTCTACATCACGCTGGAGCACAGCCTGGTTCTGAAGCAGGCCCGCCTGGCTGACACGGGCAACTATACATGTGTGGCCAAGAACATTGTCGCCCGTCGCCGCAGCTCATCCGCTGCTGTCACTGTCTATGGTAGGGCCCATTCATGGGAGGAAAGGGCCACCATTGGGGAATATCCGCCTTCCCATAAGCCCATGGACCATGAATCTAGCAGTTTGGGATGCTTGAAGCTTACCATGTTCTTGAGCCACAGAGATTGGGTTCAGCTGTAGGACAAGGAGAAACTGAGTGAGGACCGCAGTCCAGCACCCAGCAGCTTCTTGGTCTTCAGCTCAGCTCAGATGAACATGTCAAAGTCACAGTCTTACACATCCTGAAGGAGCAGGTTTAGGAAGACTTGAGCGATGGTGTACTCAACTAGTTTAGCATGTGACAAAGAAAGGATTGGGCTAGGAAAATTCCCCACAGGGGAATGCTGCATGACCTCCTTCCCACTCCTCCAAGTGTTCACCCCTTCTGCTTGTGACTCCTTCTGCATACCCCCCACCCCCACCCCCATGTTTTCCTGTGTATTCTCTCAGAACTGTATTTTACCATTCAAGCTCTGAGGGAAGCTTGAATCCCGGAGTAAACCATCTTGCCCAAAGGCAGCCAAAGGCCCCCAGGCCCCAGGAGTCACTCTGCTTCCAGTGGGAGCACCAGCTCCTTTCAGCCCTCAGCCCTTCCCAGCCCCTGAGCCAACTGTCAGGAACTCTGGCTGATGCTGTCCCTTCCCCCCAGTGAATGGCGGCTGGTCGACGTGGACGGACTGGTCAGCTTGCAGCACCAGCTGTGGACGGGGCTGGCAGAAGCGAAGCCGGAGCTGCACCAACCCAACGCCACTCAACGGGGGGGCCTTCTGTGAGGGCCAGAATGTGCAGAAAAGTTCCTGCGCCACCCTGTGCCCAGGTACAGCCCCTGCCACTGCTGCGCACCGGCTCCCGTACCTCTGCTCGCTCCCATCCTCTATGCCAAAGCCAGGGTACCTGTGGCCCTCCAGCCAATTCCCATCCGCTCTCACCCTTAGCCAGGCTGGCAGGAGACTGATGGGAAGAGGAGGACAACAACATCTGGAGGGGGCCACAGGTTTCCATGGGCCCACATAAGCACTCATGCCCCTGCCCCTTGGTTAGGAAACGGAGACATGCCAAACCCAGAATAGGTGAAGCTACACACTTTCGCACCACCTTTCACTCACCATTCCTGGGCCTTTTTCCTGTTTTAGCTCGGGGTCTTGGCAGGGGTGGGGGAGACTCCCGTTTCTAACAGCTCTGGCTGCTGTGCGCTGACCCCTTTATATCCCTGCCTTTGTCCTCTTCCCCAGGGCAACCCTGCTGGATTGACAGTGAACCTGGAGTAGTGCCATGTGTCTGAGGCATGTCTCTCTGTGTCCACAGCTCTGTTTGAGTGGATGCCCCCTTCCAGTTGGTGCCCTGAGCCTTGCTTTTCCCTCCCCTTGCTCTACCCCTCTTCTCCAACCCATCCATGTGTCTATGTTTGTCCCCTTCCCATCTTTGAGCCCTTGTCCTTTTGAGGCATGTTATCAGAGCTTGGAAAAGTTGCTTTTTATGTTGTTTTTGAACTCATCTGCCAGGACCTCCCAGTAAGTATGGCTGCTGGCCATGCTAGATTGGGGGGATTCTAGGATATATAGGTTTTTTTCCCCTCAAGTAACTCCTTCAAGTTCTGCGTATTAAAAAATGTGGCAGGGACTCCCTTTTCTCAGTTAGAGGTCACCTCCTTAGATGTCATAGCCTGGAGGGGCCTCGTGGCCTTTGAGGCTGTCACAGGTGTTTGGCTAGAAAAAAAAAGCTGCTTGGGAGTTTGGAGGGAGGCAGGCAGAACACTCCCCATGAAGACAAGGGGATTTTTTTAGTTAGCATTTTGGGTGACTAAGCCTTTGCACCACCTTCTCCTGTCCGGCAGTGCCTGGTGGTTGGTCAGCCTGGAGCTTGTGGTCCGTCTGCAGTGCAGATTGTGCACACTGGCGTAGCCGCGAGTGCTCAGATCCAGTGCCCCGCAACGGTGGTGACGAGTGCCAGGGGCCCGAACTGGAGACCCGCAACTGCACCAGTGAGCTGTGTTCTCATGGTGAGTTCCTAGCACTTCTGCCATCTTTGGGAAAGAGTGATTGCTGCGGTTGGAGATGGGGCGTTGGTGGTGAAAAAGTGGGCGGCGTGGGGTGGGGTGGAGTCTAGAAAGAAAGGAGAATTGTATCATCTGATGGAGTGGACGAAAGAGAACAGTTTCATCAACCTTGCATATGATCATTCATATGTGTTGATGCAAATTCAAAATAATTTTTATGATTTTAAGGAGAAGTGTAAAAACTCACCCAAGTGAGGAAGATGTGAGAAGAAAGTTGTATTACGGCCTTCTCATTTTGCTGCCTAGCCGCTAACTGTTGATGGGCCAATCCAAGAGAACTGTTCTCCCTTGTTGTTAAATGATGTGCTGTTTTAAATATATAGCTACACCTCAGGGGGTTTTCTTGCTCCAAATGAAGCACACACTCCAGCCGTTTCCCCCCCACAAATTTGCCTCTCATCTTGCAGATACTAAAAAAAGTGAGACTGAGAACCATCCTCTCTCAAACTGCCTTCTGCTAATCGGTCCTCCATCTCTGTTGACGCCACTTCTTTTTCTTTTTGCTGTGATGGGGAGGGCAAATTTCAAAGAGTGGGAAGGGACAGGTTTATGTCTTGCAAGTCTACACACAGGGGTTCTGGTCCCAACTAGGCTTGTGTGTACTTACTTTTCAGTGAGAAATAAACTGTAGCTTGGCTGCATGCTACTTATTTAATGGAGCATGTTGTTTAACCCTCAGGGTTCTTTATCTTTAAAGCAGGCTTTGCTTGGCAATATCTTAAAATAGAAGACTGTCCTCTGGCAGCTTTTCAAGTTGAGTATGCCTTCAGAAACAGGATTGCTTTGTCACCTCTTCAGTTATAGAGGACTGTCTGTTGTAAAGTAGGAAGGGTGGCCATGAATTCTGCAGCGCCTCTCTCTGGCTCTGGACATGTGGAACGAGTGCTTCCTGCGGAGTTCTTCTGTGCGTGGCCTTTCATTCCAGGCTGATTGAGATGTAAGGGCAGGCAGGCCTGTCAGTTCTGGTCTGCCTATCTGTCCACGTGGAAACTACCAGTCATCTGCCCAGCACAGATGGAATCACTGCTGCTGAGTTTTGCACTGCCTGGTGGCCACAGGCAACAAAACAGAAGTCCATCTTGGCAAACACACACCCTCTGGGGCCCAGTAGCCCACGTGCCCCTCTTTCCATTCCTCTGAGGAGGTCCCAGAGTCCTCCCTTTAAAGATGTGCTCACTGCCCCCAAAAATCACAGTCTCTGTGCGTCGGCCTAGCGAGCAGCCTGTTGGCCTTCAGGCCCTGGGAGCTGTGCGCTGGCATGCCAGGGTGGGAGAGTGAGTGACAGGTCCCATCCTGGCTCATTAACTATCCTAGCCTGTTAGGCCTCCTAGGGGTTTTCTCTTCCTTTTACATCAAATTAACCATTCTCACAGTTGAAATGAAGCCATGTCCCACTGCCCACCCGGAGGTACTCAGTCTGACAGTTTGGCCCAGCTGGTGGGGGGGGGTGTATGTGTGGGAGTAGAATTCAGAGGGACAGCTGGACAAAGTGCTGGTTGACATATAAAACATGCACACATGCCGTCTCCTTCTTTCTCTCTCTCTCTCTCTGTCTCACACACACACACACAGAGAGAGAGAGAGAGAACCCGCTTTGTACATATGTTGCCTCACAAACTAGGCTAATGAGTGCATTCCCGCTTGCTTTTGTAAAATAAAAATGGTGTTCTCCAGGGTAGACAAAAATCAATGATTTTTTTAAAAGGATTTAAATTTAAAATGATTCTTTGGATTGAAATAATCAAAAAATTGATTTAAAAAAAAATGTAAATTGTGATTCCTTCTGGTGTTCTCACATGTAAAGAAGGCCTGCATGCTTACTCTTCTTACCTCTCAAACAGCTCATATACAACACTCTGTTGTCTCTTTGTCTGCTTATCTATAGACACCTCAATAGAAAGAACAATGCACACTCAGTTTCCTGCCTCTGTGGAAAGGTGGAAATCTCCATATTTGCAGACATAAATAGTGAAGGGGCCATTATCCATTTCCCCCCATGAAAATTATGTTTTTACTCAAAATTTGCCAGGGGCAATAAAAGAGCTTTTCTAACCTCATTTGCAGCCCTCCACATAAAAGAATGTACCACAAAACCTTTCCTGCAAGGGCACTGTTTAGGAAGATTAGGGACCCTTGCTTCCACCCATCTTTTAGCTTTCATGACAATATTGTTTCTGAGGAGCATGTAAATTTATGGTTAACTCACCAGTTTTACAGACAAGAGTTACTAATTATTATATAAAGTTTGGTGGACCTGTGTGCTAGGCATGCATGCTGAAGGTACAGCAATTTTTTTTAAGAACTCAAAGCTTATCACACAAGAACACGTGCTAGTTTGTACCTTTTTGTTGCTGATAATTGTCATGTTTGTTATTAAATACAAAATATGTGTTATAAAATATTAGTGTTTTTTGTTAAAATCTGAAATTGGACCTCAAAAAATTCCCTCTTGTTCATTATCCTTTCCTTCTAAGATAAACTTTCCATCCTTCTCTGGAAGGTGTGCATGTGAGGAATCAAGGCAGACTGTAAGTCCATGGCTGAGAAGGAAAAAGGGTAGACATGTTTTCTGCCTTTACACTGAAAATAAGGAAGCAGCAGATTTTAGGCACACTCTTAGATGAACCTTATCCCAGAGAGGTGTGCTGCAGTGCCTCCTCCATACAGAGCCCATTCATTCACAGATCTGCATACACCTGCAAACACCCACATCTCCCCACCACCACCACAGGTGGTAGGCATTGCACGTCATGCAAATGAGTGGTGTCTTCCTTCTCTTTAAGATGATGCCATTATTTTGTAGTTTCTCACATATGGCAACAATTGGCCCAACTTGTACCTCTCTGTTCTCTTGCCTCCCTACCTAGGAACTGGTGGCTCCGAGGATGTGGCTTTGTATGTGGGGCTGATTGCAGTGGCGGTCTGTTTAGTGCTGCTACTCCTGGTGGTGACCTTAGTCTATTGCCGCAAGAAAGAAGGATTGGATTCTGATGTGGCCGATTCTTCAATCCTCACAGCTGGCTTTCAGCCAGTCAGCATCAAGCCCACCAAAGCAGGTGAGTATCGCTCTGTATCAGAGCATTCTGGGAAACACACATGTTGTGTAGAATAACTCTGTATTGGAACACCACTGTTTGGGCAGGCAGGCTTTATACAGCCACATTCAGGTTCTGTGTGGTGTTGCCAGGTCTCTGTATGGAGATTGTATTTGTCTTTCACTGTACCACAGCTGTGGAGAAGGATGCGGCCAAAGGGTTTTCTATCATGCCAAGAAGCAGGGTTTCCAGGTCAAACTCCATAGTTGATGCCTGCCATTTTCAAAGTCCATTAAGTTCTGCATTTTATTGAGTGATTCCACAAATCCATTTGCCTACCTTCTTTTTCTTCCTCTTGTTGCAGACAGAGCTTTTAGCTTTGGCTCACTATATACTGAAAAATAAAGTGTGCAAAGGAGTGGTGGAAGAGAGAGAATCCTTTTGGGATGGAGCCTGTGAAGTAGCAGGCAATTGGACTTGAGACTTGAGCACTCTAGTCCAGGTGGTCAGGGGAGAAATCTTCCCATTGAGCGTGCCATCTCTTTTACCCACTCTGCCCTCTCCAGCAGCAATAGGCTTGTGGCGGAGGGGGGGGTGGAGAGGAGCCTTCCCTTGGCTTCAATTAAAGGCCTTCCCCAAGCATAATTACAGCATGGCAAAGGGCAGTTTGGTGGGGATTGCAGCTAGGCAGGTTACCTGCTCCCCTCCCCCCATCCAAATTATCCTCTCTGCAGTGCAGTTAGACTTTGGGAAAGCTTTCTGTTAGTGGAAGTGAAAGGCTTTTTCCAAGTCTGAGTGCCATGTAGCATCTGGGTTTTTCTCTGCATGGCCGTCTTTGTTTGTTTGTTCGTACGTACGTATGTTCATACATACATACATGTACATACAGCCCATCTGGCTGAAAGTTATAGGGGTGGGGGGAGAGAGAAAGAGAGCGAGAGTGAGAGTGAGAGAGAGAGAGCATTTCTGTATTGAGAGAGAGTATGTAGGCAGCACCACCTCCTCCCTATTTGCCCATGCCACCTTTTGCAGGAGAGTACCTACTTCTGGCATGCAGCTTTCTCAAAGTTTACCTGGTAGGGACTATGACTCTTGGGCCAAAGAAAAACTAATCACAAAAAAACACAACAGTCTTACGATGCCAGCTGTCTTGCTGTTTTCCCATGGGAAACCAGGGCATCTAGAAGAGATGTGTCACCTGAGCTGCAGTCTGTAGATAGTGAATGATGCTGATCATTGTCATGATCATAACGAGGGGCTCCTTTTAAGTGATAGAACACACCTTATTGGATTTCCCTTCCTCGATGGGTGACAGTTCCATGGGAATTGGGATAGCTTTGCAATGGCAAGAGTCCTGTTTTTGTTTTTGGTTCTGTTTTTACTGGAGTTACTTTTCTCTGGATAAACTTCAAGGTAGTTTGCAAATGCTACAAAAAATAAATACAAAGAACTGAAAAGCACGGTGAAAAACAGATAACAGCTGTTTTGTTTATTCTATTAGAGAGTGAAAGAGGTTGGCTTGAAAGTAGGTCTACATGAAACAGTTTTTATACTTCCAGAAAGTTTCAAACGTGGAAGGCTGAAAGACTTCTTCATGGCAATGGCCTAAGCAGAGGGTCTGTCTGTCTGAAGGAGAGGTAGTTTTGTAGTCTCAGTCTTCCTACAATCGCAGCAAAAATCTGTTACAATTATAGCTAGACACTCAAATGTCAGAGATTGTTCCTTCACCATCCATCTTGACACTATTAACATTGCCTTCACTAAAGAACGATTCCGCACCAGAGGATAGAAACAGTCCATTTGTATTCTCCGAGAGAACCTGCTAAAATAATCCATCTTGGCTGCAAGCCCTAGTTGTTTCTTGATATTCCCCGGAACCTCTGTCAACAATGAGGGCAGGCCATCACTGATTCCTGTAAAAAGGGTTTTCTTATCACCCCACCATCCGACACACTCTCCAGGCATTCTGCAGATCTTTCTGTAGCAGTGCATGGACGGCCCTTCTCTGTTAAGCAAGTGGCATTAACTTTTGGAGGAAGCTAGATGTTGCATGGGAGATTGCCCTTCTCTACCACAAAAACCAATACAATGCCAAGTGAATAACAGGTAAAGAACAGTGCTTGGAATGTTTTATCTGTTGGTTGGGGTTTTGTTTTTGTTTTTGTTTACTATCCTTCCCACAGTTGCCCAGCCAGCCAGATATTCTGGGAGTTAATGGTCTAGAAAAGTAACTTTTTCAATTTATTTTAAAAACCATAGGGAGCATAATTATATAAAAATGTAATGTTCCAGTAGTTTCCACACAGGTGATGCAACTTTAATCTTGAGATATTAAAGTAAAATGGCACAAGGACTCTTCTGATTGTGAGCATTCCATTTCCACATGTTTGAACCAATTCACGAGACACAGCCATACCCCATTTTGTGTGGAACTGGATGTGGATTGAACAAGCGTCCTTTCACCACCCAATGAACTATTTGATCATTCCATTCAGGATATGAATGTCGTGACCCTTTAAGCTCACCTCTTCACAGCCTGACAAGTAACATAAAGCATTAAAATGACATTTGTGTTGTGTTTGGCCAGCTCATTTTGTCTGTCTACATTAAGTTGCACAGATGGCTTGTGTAAGCTCTATTAGTTCAGAATCCTGGCTCTGGAAGGGAAATAGTATGCCTGGAAAATAAAGATCTGAGAAATAAAATACATCGCCTTTTTAATAGCAAAAGAAAAGAGATGGCATAAACATAGATGTTTGTTTCTTGGGTCATTGCAGCAGTCTGTTGCCCCTGCTGGTTAACGGATTGTATGCAATGCTGTCTGATGAGATAATGTTTTGTGATTAGGCTGCTACCTACCTGAGATGATTCAGAATATCTGCATTTGCATTTATAAAGTAATCGAGTGAGCAGTGCTGAGAATGAACTCGCTCTTCTCTTGGGTTGGGAAAAGTCTTCAGCACCTTAAGAGGGCACTTGTGCTTTTACCTGCCCAATCCGTCCCTTTCTCAGTACTCTCTTTTCCTCTCTCTACCCCCCATCCCTTTGCAGATAACTCCCAGTTACTCACTATCCAGCCCGACCTGAGCACCACCACTATGACCTACCAGGGTTCACTGTGCCCACGCCAGGATGCACCCAGCAAGTTTCAGATTGGCAATGGGCACCTGCTGAGCCCTCTGGGTAGTGGGCGCCACACCCTGCACCATAGTTCACCTAGTGCTGACCCAGTGGACTTCGTGTCACGATTCTCCACCCAGAGTTTCTTCCGCTCCTTGCCCAGGGGTGGCGCCAACATGGCCTATGGGACCTTCAACTTCCTGGGTGGACGTTTAATGATCCCCAACACAGGTGAGTGGCTGGCAAGCAAGAGAACCTCATGGCTGGGGATGGGGGAGCAGCTTCAAAAGGGCAAGGTTAAGGGGCTTTATGATGCTCCTAGTTCCTTTCTGTACCAGAACTCCAGGCCATGCTTCTGTGAGGTAGATGTTCCTTGTGGCCCATAGTAGAATGGGAGGAGATATCATCTATGCATACAAATTCCAGCATGTACCATTTACCTCCCAGTTCTGAGTTGCTCCCCTTCAGGAGGAAATAGAATGTGTTCTCAGCCCTGCCATGTTCAGCTAAGCAGCTCCTTCTTGTTGATGTCTCTCTTTGAATGGCCTGTTGGCATGAGAGAACATGGAATGTTTTTTCCAGGCTTGGATCCATGAGAAGGCTTACCTCCAGGCCGTCTGTGCTCCATTCCTCTGAGCAGCACTCTCTCTTTCAGGTGTCAGCTTGCTCATCCCACCTGATGCCATCCCACGGGGGAAGATCTATGAAATCTACCTGACCCTACACAAACAGGAAGATGTGAGGTACCTGTCCTATTCATTGACAACCCCCCCCTCCCAGCAGCTAACTCATGGATGGCTCCTAGATGTCTTGTAAACCAGTTGGGTTACATAGCATGTATACATGCCCTTGAACTCTACCATTATCTAGAACTGCTTGCTGTGAATCGCTCAGGTATCTGCACTTCCTGACATTTAATCTAGTGCAGGACACAGACTTCTATGGGATTCATGGTCAGTTTGTAGAGATTTGTGACCTTGCAGATGATGTTGCTGTGAATATGCTAGTGATGGCTTACTATATGTTGCTGCCTAGTGCAAAGGACAACATTGCCCTTCCCATCTCAACTTCCAGAAGCTGACAGGGATTGCCACTTCTCTCTTACTTCAACATTGACAACAGGAGAGCAGCAGATTAGTTTAGGAGACAGAGCACAGACTGTGTGGTAAACATAGCCCTATCTTTAAAATACTGGGCACCCTAACACCCCCTGTGTGAGTCAGCTGCCTCACTTTGCCTAATGGTGGGGCCAGCACTGACACCTGCATTCTAGTAGACGGGAATGCAGAAATGTGAGCTAGAGGTGGTTGAATGTCTTGATGATGATGGTAATGTGCTGTGTTCTGTCGCTGCCATCACAGTTGTCTACGTAGCCTCTGTATGAAAAAACAAACACCTCTGTCTTGGCATTAGCATGATTCTTCTTGCTGGAAGTGTTTGCTTTTGAGATCTGTTGCTCCAGATCCTTCCCTAAGGAGTTTAAAACTCTTTATCAGGCACACACTTGTGTGAAGTAAACAGAACTAATTTTGTATAGACAATAGAGTTCAGTTACCATTTCCTAAAGACTGAGGCAGTCCAAAGAAAGTAGGCTGTTCATACAAGTGGAAAAGATGTTCCCATCATGGCTGTATCAGATTGGCTTATGTAATCTGTAAAGATCCTCAAACCATTTTTTAGGCAAATTTAGCCAGTAACGGCCTTATTGTGCTCTGAAAAGCACTAACAACTCTGTCTCTCTACTTTAATGTTCTTGGCCTGTCTTTTTACAATCCACTCTTGCTAGCATCCCACTGTTCAGGCCTGTGTCAACAGCAAATGGAGAAAGCATGCTTCTGTCATGGCGCATTTAGTGTCGAAAATCCCTTTGGTGCTGGCTGAGGAGGTAGATTTGATTAGGATGTCTAAAGTGAACCTACCCTGAAGCACAACAGATAACAGCCTTGTTAGCTAAGCTGGTGGGTTTTGCCAGCCAGCAAAAGGACCCTGCCTGAATGCCCAAAAGGAAACAACTCCCTTGGACAACGGGCTAGTCACCTCTAAGGAGCTCACCTACCGGGCCTACATAGATTCCTATGCCCTCTCTCCACCTACTTCTGTTTCTGATGGTTCCACTTAACGGAACTCTCCAGTGATGTTTGTTTGCTGTAATTTGGGTATTTCCGCTTTTGATCATATCAATTTCAGTCTCTTCTGGCCTCCAAATCCAAACAAAGATCACTGTTTGGCTTGCTAGAAATATATGTTTACCTTTCTCACGTCCCACTTCTCCATTCTGCTTTCTCCCCCCCCCTCTCTCTGTGTGTGTGTGTGAGTGAGAGAGAGAGAGAGAGAAAGAGAGAGAGAGAAAGAGAGAGAGAGAGAGAGTCCCCTTGAGCTAGACACAAGACTCTCAGGCTGACCTCCTAGCAGGCTTTTTGGGAGAATAAAGTAAGGAAGAGAGCCATCTGGATTATGTTAAGCGCAGTGACAGAAGGCAGCATACGAATGTCACAACTACATAAATTAATGTAGTTATTTATGGAAAGCAACTGATCCCAATAGTTACACTGGGCTGTGTCTGATTTTGTGTGTCCCCTTCTCTGCCCAATTCATGTTTCTTTCACACCTTGAGGTTGCCTCTGGCTGGCTGCCAGACATTGCTGAGCCCCATCGTCAGCTGTGGCCCTCCAGGGGTGCTGCTCACCAGACCTGTCATCCTAGCCATGGATCACTGTGTGGAGCCCAACCCCGAGACATGGAGTCTGCATCTCAAGAAGCAATCCTGTGAGGGCACCTGGGAGGTGAGTGCTTGGCTTTGGGCCATTGGAGAAGCTTTCAGAGTTTTAGCAGGGCCTTGTGCATGCTGTGTGTAACTCACCAACAAACAGTCCCCTGCCCATCCATGTACTTCTCCCAAAGAACTCTAGTCATGGGGTGACTAAGTAATAAAAATATATAAAGAGATATGAGACATGCCCCTGCAGTCCTATCTGACGGAAATCTTACCCAGCTGTAAATTGGGCTTCATTAGCTAGATACTTTTAAGTCTCTATTTGCAGTTGTAAATGCCAGGAATGTCCATGTTTGGAAAAAGTGGATTATATAACCTGTGATTTTTCTGCACTAGATTCTGCTGAACAGTGAATATATGCACCCTTTTTTATAACATTAAAGCAGTCAGATTTGCTGCCTGCTCTCCAACACTGCCACACCTAGGTTCTTGGAGGAGGAGACTCTTTGCCTTTGGTGAATGCTGGGCTCTTGGATGAGCTCACGCATACTATAAGCGGTGATGGGATGCACTAAATAAAATCAGCCTTTTGTCCTTTCAGGCCCTGAGCTGCATCCCCTGCTTATGCATACAAACTGTATGCTGCCCTTACGCCACTCTCGCAAGTTCACACTAGCCATGTAGCACCCTGCTATTCTTGCTGGCAGCGAGCCCAAGACACCTTGTGTCATACCACTTGTTCCTCTACCATCTCTGTGTTGATCAGTTCACGGTGACTCAGTGTCTCCTCCTTTGAGGTTTTCTGCTCCCTTTGTCCCCTGTTGGCCTTGGAATCGATCTACTTCTGTGCTTTCACCCTATCCGTCACTGCTGCTTTGGGTGATCTTCCTGCTGCCTTCTCTGTTCTCTCAGGATGTGCTGCACCTCGGTGAACCAGCACCCTTGGAACTCTACCACTGCCAGCTGGAACCCCAGGCTTGCTACATCTTCACTGAACAACTCGGGCGCTTTGCGTTGGTAGGGGAATCCCTCAGCATGGCTGCATCAAAGCGTCTCAAGTTGGTTCTCTTTGCACCCACAACTTGTACTGGGCTGGAATATGATGTCCGTGTCTATTGCCTCAGTGATACCCGCGATGCACTCAAGGTACTACTCCTGAGCCACTTCCATGGAAATACCCCAACACCATCAGTAATCCTTCTTTAACATGTATCACTGGACTAGAAGACCAGTCTTGGTGATCCATTATTTAAAAGCATTGCTTTGGGAACTGTTGTGCTTAATACTAGAGTGCAGCATCTATTCATGTTCCACTTCAGTACTGTTGGCTGTGGCTTCAAAATATATTGCCTCTTGGATCCCCTCACTACAGTCATACATAAGGTGTCTTGCCTCACCTGTCTTAGGTGAAGCGTGAGTATTGTGCAGCCCAGTGGGCACATGCTGTCCCCTCAAGGTTGCTTTTTGCTTCCCCTGAAGCCTACTAGATTCCATTGACCTCCCTTTTCTGGCAGGTAGCACTTCTCTACGGGTAGCCTTTTGTTCTTTTGATTGGTCTCAGGGATGACTGCACAGCTTAATATTAAAGACACATACTTTCAAAACCAGAAGTGCACTGTGAACCACTTCCAGGGGGGTTTCTTTCCTATTATTTGAGTTGATCACTTCTTGCTCTCAGTAGGTTCTAGGAGCAAAGGGGGGGGCAGATCCACCAAAGCTACCCATTTCTGTGTTAGATAGTTCTCATGTGTTCCTTACTAAGATGTCAGTATCCTTTTCTACTTGAGGACTCTTGCTGTGATAAAACCAGTCCCCTACCTCTCCCAGATCCGTTCTATGATTTGGCAACTGTTGGGCCCAAGAGTGGGAGTTGACTACAGCGAAATGGGTGCTGTTGGTCCTGAAAGCTCACTTTCCTTACTCCCAACCCCTGTGTTTGTTCCGTTGCAGGACGTGGTACAAATAGAGAAGCAGATGGGCGGACAGCTAATTGGTGCTCCACGGATCCTACACTTCAAAGATAGTTATCACAACCTGCGCCTCTCTATCCATGATGTGCCAAGCTCACTGTGGAAGAGCAAACTCCTTGTCAGCTATCAGGCAGGTGTCCCACTGACTTGGAGGGTGTTCTGCAGCCAGAGCAAAATAGGGTTGTGTGCCCATTCTTTGCCTAAAAAACTACAGTGGTTCTTATCGTTTGAGATCTGTTGTATTTTCTCTTCTGTTTGCTGGGATACAGAGCTTGAAAGGAATCCTGATTCCCCCAACGCCATTCTAGCCCCTAGAATAACCCATGTTAGAGCCACCAGGTTCTTCTAAATTCAAGGACTTTCTGTATGGTCCAATCCTTTTTTTCAGGGGCAAGTGATAGTTCCCTGTCTACCATTCTATTTGGTCTCACTGTCTTTGTTGGCACCTGTTCCCATCCTCTAGTAAAGAGATGTCTCATTCTTTATCCCTCATTAGGAAAGTTACACATTCAGACCCGAGTCTCTCCTCTTTCCTCGCAGGAGATTCCTTTCTATCACCTTTGGAGTGGGCTGCAACCTTACCTGCACTGCACCTTCACATTGGAGAGACTCAGTACTAGCACATGCCAGTTGGCTTGCAAAATCTGGATCTGGCAGGTGGAAGGTGATGGGCAGAGCTTCAATATTGACTTCAACATTGCCAAGGTGAAAACAAGGGCAAGGCAAATGGAAGATTGGTCAGATGGTGTCAGTGGTATGCGTTGGGCTGGAAGGGGTCTCTTGCACTTGGGGAATGCACTGATCACAAAGGAACTGGTAGTACTCTCTAGACTGGAAGCTTAGCAGCAAGCTGTTTAGCTAAGTGGATAGCTAGCTACCTTTCTGAATGGAGTTCAAATACCTTTCATAAAACATGTGGTTACAGTATCATTGCAGAGCATAGAAAAGTTACCTTTTTTTGAGAACAACTTTCATGGCCAGTGAACATTTCAGCTGGGGACTGAGAGTTGTCGTCTAAAAAAATGTAAGTTCCAAGAACTACAGGTAGTGTGGCTTCCACATGACATAAAAGCGTCATCAAACCAAAAGGAACTTCCAAAACATCACAAAGCCTCTTCGGGTTAGGGACACTCCTCCAGCACCTTCTCCCATCTGCAGGGTCTCCCTATTTGCTTGGTAGTTCCTAATAGCTGCCATCATCTTCACAGGATGCTCGATTCTCAGACTGGCTTCCTCCAGACAATGAGGCTGGTTCCCCTGCCCTGGTGGGCCCCAGTGCCTTCAAGATCCCTTTCCTCATCCGCCAGAAGATCATAAGCAGCCTGGACATGCCTGGAGCCCGTGGGGCTGACTGGAGAGCATTAGCCCAGAAGCTGCACCTTGACAGGTAAAGAGGTTATCTGTGTAAGGATGGCCCTGGGGAATCAGGTCAGCTGGCACTGGCCACAGAGAGGGAGTGGCTCTTGCAGAGACAAGGATGGGACCGGGATGGGGAGGGTTATGTAGGAAGAAAAAGATTGTGTTGTGGATAGTGGTGTGTGTGTGTGTGTCTAACTGGTTCAGGGGATTTAGACCTAGATTGTGATGGCCTTTCTTTTCTCCCCCCACCCCCCACAGCCATCTCAACTTCTTTGCTTCAAAACCCAGCCCGACAGCCATGATCTTGAACTTATGGGAGGCACGTCACTTCCCCAATGGGAACCTCAACCAGCTGGCTGCTGCGGTGGCCGAAGTGGGCAAGCAGGACAGCTCCCTTTTCATGGTTTCAGAGGCTGAGTGCTAAGGCCCTCAGAGGGGGCCACGCAGGCCTTGGCCAGGAGATAACGGGGGCAGCGCTTCCACACGTCTCCTGCTTTCCTTTGCTCGTGTGCCCTTTTCGAGGCATAGCAGCCTCTTGCCCTCTTTTCCTTGTGCCAAATACAGCCAGAAGGCAAGCACACTGGGCTCAGTCTTTAGCAGCCATGGAAGCGACTACTGAATGCCTGCCCTCCTGCCACCAAGGAAGCCCCAAGACTGTCTATGGAAGGCCTGTCCCTTCTACTGGCACAGGCTGGCAATGGATTGTGACCATATCCTCTGGCTTGGATATGCCTCCAGTGCCCTTTTCTACCTGAGAATGGGAAGAATGAGGGAAGGAGATGGCCAGCCTAGTGCTCATGGTTGAGAGTCACTAGGAGAAACAGGTAAGCTTGGTCTTGGAGCTGAGATTTCTGTGCCCCTCCCACTGCAGCCCCCAGCCAGCCCAGTGCCAAGATAAAAGTAGAGGGTGGGGAGGGGGGGAATAGCACAGGGTAGTTCCTGAACTATCTGTATATTTTTGCTGTAGCTCAAGAGTTACCCAAGGCACAGTTATGTAGAGCAGCCCCCAGGTTGGTGGCTTGCAAACACTGGGAGCCCCAGGGGACAAGGGAGGGGCAGGAGATACCTAGGCAGAAGGCAGCCCAGGGCTCACATGGCCATGGTGTACTGGATGACTGGACGTGTGCCTCCTTCAGTCCTTGCCCAGTGTATATGCAAAGGGAATTGTGCGTGTGCGTGGCAGTCCAATCCGTGCAGTGAACGTGTGCTGGACCGGGCAGGTCCGTGCCGTATTGTGTAAAGATCGTTTTTTATTCTGTATTCAAGTGCATTCAAGTATTTACACTTGGCCTTATGTACATACAAGCATCCCGCACAGCGTTTTGGCGGGCATGGATGTAAATAAATTATATATATATATTGCTATATTGGGCTTCTTGTGTCTTTGCTCGCACTCAGCTAATGGAAGGTTCAGCAGGTGTAAAACCAGTCAGCCAGAGCCCTTGGTGAGTAGCCACGAGCTTAGCAGAGCTTTCTGAGAAGTCCCTGGAACACAGAAACCTTGTGGGTTATAAAGATGCCACCATTTTATCCCCCTAAATTACAACAGTGCTTGGTTTTGGCTTCGTGACAAAAGGATGGCTTGAGAATTCAGGTTGCAGCAGGAATTCACTTTATTCCCCCCCCCCCACCTTGCTTTGGCATCAATCAGATGTTAAGAATTGCAAAGGTGAAATGCTGTAACTACCAAGACATGCCTTTCCTGTAACTTTGCCACAGCTGTCACAAAACAGGATGAGAGTTGTGCTGAAGCTTCAAGGTCTGGACCTGGCAAAGAGTAGTCCAGCATCTTGCTTACTGGCAGATATTTGTACACATCAAGTGGAGTCTTCTGTTACTTAGGGCAGGCCACAGCAGCAATCAGCGCTGCTCCCTTTCCTGAGCCATCCTCTGACAGCAAAAACTTGACGTTGCAGTTTGGAGCAAGCAGTGCCACGGTATCTTGAAGCTTTTTTGCAAAGCTTAGGACATAAAAAGAGAATGTCAAGTGAGCTATGGAAGTCAGCATTAAGTGCAAATTTGCATCTCTCCTGCCAGCAGCACCGTGCCTGGGTTACATGCTACCTGGAAATACAGAATCTTGTAATTGCTCCTCTTTCCTTCACACAAAAGTGGGGCAACATCCCTTGTGATGACCTCATCTGGCCCTCCAACATCCCAAATACCTTCGAGAAAAGTATATGCTACTTATAGATTATACAGCAGTGCAGTAATGGCCACCAGAATTTTTTCAAGAGTCTCCTCTTACTGTATATGGAATAGAGCTGGCTCAGTTTCTCTCCACACACTGTCTAAAATCCTGTTGTACAGTTATGCAAAAGTGGTAGCTTTTAAGACATGAATTGCTGTAAGTTCAGAAATCCCCATAGGCATTGTCTGGTGCATGCTAAGTTGCATGGCTTCATGTGCAACAGAGATGGAGATTTCTTGACTGGCTGCAATTTGATGCTAGAACTTAGACCCTCTGTGTAACTGCAACAGGAGTTTGGCCACTGAAAGATACATGCTGCCCTTGATGCCTATCCCTGCTATGCCATCCAAGGGCAACCAAAGTTTACACTCCCTTCTATGAAGTGTGTTGGGCTGAAGTCTCTCACTTGCCTCATAACAGGATACAGCAAAACCAACTCACAAGTGGTGTAGCTTGTACAGTGTTCCATCCACACCAACGGTCACATCCAGCTTCGTCATGCGCTTATTCTCTCGGATCTTATCCACAACAGCAGCCACTCCTGCTGCACACATTTTAGCAGCACGTGAAGAGATGGTATGGCACACTTCTTTTACCACAAGGCCATCCTCAAGAGACACGGTCAACCCGAAACTTTCCAGCATGTTGCACACATGTTGGTGGCCTTCGCTGCTGCTTTCAGAATATTAGAATTAGTGGTGGTGATCTCAACCCCCTGGAGCCTTATGGTTAGTAGAAATAAAAGACTCTGGCATTGTTTCTATTCAAAAGGACTGTTCCCCTTTTAGTCGTATCTTAGAAAGAACCCTTTGTCTCCCATTCAGTCTACGGGTATCAGTTGTGACCAGTAGCAGGGTTTACACATTCCAGGTACAAATGTCTCCACTGTGTCCAAATGAATGAATGTAAAATTATGCATTATAGATGCACATATTCAATGCTTAAAATAAATAAATGAAATCAACATGGTTGGTGCACATTTACCTACTTTCCATAAGTTGGTTCATTTTCTCTGTCTAGGTTTAGAATCTAGGACGAGAAGTGCTTTTTTGGCAGCAGGAGGTTAGGCCAGGGAGCAGTCAAACAGAGAAATAGCTTGCGTTTTGGACCATTTGTGGCGTGATCCAGTGCAAGCTGTTTTCTCATGATCAGATGACATACCAGAATATTGTGAACCAGCCTGATCCTGCTCCATGTCCAACATTTTGGTCCAGCTGCAGGACTACTCTTCTTTGGAGCTGGGCTGGAGCAGTTCCTTTCTGGATGCGTCACTTTTAAGGGACAGAAGTCCTAGTGAAGTGACTCTTTCCAGTGCAATCAAATGTGATCCTTTATCACCATCTGATCATACCCTTGGTCAAGTTAGACAGCAGGAATCTTGGACAAAGGGTTGTACTGGTAGTTAAATAAGGCAGAGAGAAAACTCCCATTCAAACAACAAAGTCTTTTGCAGACAACCCATAAACAACATTCTCAGTAATTTGATTTGTGCACCAAGACCTGGGTTCTACACAGAATGGTAAAATTCATGACATAAACTGAACAGAGACACACTTACTCTTCAACGTTGGTTAGGAATTTGGTGGGGAAGATGTTCATGGTCTTTAGTTTATGTGACTGCCGGCCCTTAAAGAGGATCTTGCGAGATGCTAGTTCCAGTAAAATATAGCGTACTATCTCACCCAAGTACATGCCGCTGATGAGCTTCTCATATCTGTAGGAGAGACCGGAATTGGTGCCACCAGCACAATGGGCCCAACCCTGAACATAACTTCAGTTGCCTAGGCTCACCTCTGCTGGCCTGCATTGATGGACTCTGCATCCACTTTCACATCAAAAGGTGTCATGTAGCTTTCAAGGCAACCATCGTCTCCAAAGGCCCCCCATTCCATATTGATACACATTCTGCCCTCCTCACCCTCCACAGTGCCTATGTTCCGCATTTCTTCCATATAGCAAGCGTTGGTGCCTGTTCCTGTGGCGAAAAAAAATACCATAGAAAGGAATGACTCCTCAAAATGTCTGATCAGGTTGGAGGTAAGCCCAGTTACATTTCAGTTTTGGATGCCTTATTACTAAGAAAGGGTCAGCAGGGAACAATGCCCTGGAGCAACCCAACCTCAGGCTATAATTCCCTAAAGACAATTCAAGAAGTCCTTCAAAGAGGCTCTCTACCCATGGGAAAACATTCCCCTGGAACTTCAGAGAGTTCTTCACATCTATACTCTCACTCTCCATGCAAAACCTTCCCTACCCCTATTCTCAACTGGGAATTTATTAAAGGTCAAAGTATACATTCCTAAAATAAATGCTCCCCCCCCCGCCTCGCCCATCTTACCAACAATGAGGCCGACCTCGCACTTGGGGTCTGCATAGGCACATGACATCATGGTTCCCACAGTGTCATTCACTATGGCAACCACATCTACATCAACGTTCTGGGAAGAGAAAGGGAGGGAGAGACAGTGCGGCAAGATGTGTTACCAGGCAACCTGATTCCCCATCACCACAGTAACCAGCACGGACCCATAGGCCCAGTCGCCTGGGAAATAAGCCCCCTCTTCTTCCCTTTGCATATCCCTGGGGGCAACAGCCTAAAGGGAACTCTCAAGCTCTGTCACTAACATGCAGTCAAAGGAGACACGGGGAGCCGCCTTCCTCCCACCCACCACTCCCCTTGCTGGTATAGGTTGTGTGACCTATTACCAAGTAGATGGGGGAAGGATGCTGGCCTCAACAAGAATATAATACATGGCAACAGCTGAATGTCACCAATAATGAACAGAACAGAACAAAATGCATACATAAATACAAGCCTGCTTGATAGACAAGTGCTTTCACCTCAAAATCATCTCCCACTTCAAGCCTCCTTTTATTTCTCCCCCTTATGTCATGGTCAAGGTACATGACCTCTACCACTTCCCTGGCCCAATAAGAAGTACATGCCCAACTTCTGCCCAGTTTACCTCTTCCAGGGAAATGATTACCGTAAGCACTTACCCTTCCTTCTCCAAATCAACACACACATGCACAATTCCTGAGGGAAAGTAGGTGCTCACTACTGTTGCATGACCATGCGTATTGTATGTGGTTAGTGTCTGGGATGTAGCCTTTCATTTTGGCAAATCATATCGAGATGAAGTAATCCAGTCCAAACTCTGTACTCCCCCACAGCTATCCTGATTTTTTGCACCACTCCTGCCCCAGACGTACCGGTTGACGCTGGAGGGCCTGCCTCAGCAAACTCACAGCATCTTCTCCCACACAGCCTGAAGCACTGAAGCCCTTGGTCCATCTCAGCAAGATGCCCTGCAAAACCAAGAGAAAAATGGGAAATGGTGTAGCTGATGATACCGATGCAGCTGGACTGCTCTCCCTGAGCTGTCTCCAGGACAGTGTCTCCCTTTATAAGGCTGCCCAGGTGTTAAGATTATCAGGGGAAGCCTTTCTCTTGATCTTACCACCCTCACAAGGTGGGAAGATGGGAGAAGGCCTTCTCTGGTGCTGCTCCCAGACTTGGGAACTCCCTCCCGCATGAGGCCAACCTGGCCCCATCTCTGCTGGCCTTCTGTAAACAGGCAAAGACCTTTTTCTTCAGGCAAGCTTTGTCATAGTGACTGGATGTTGAAGACATTTTTTAAATTTAACATTGTGCTTTTGTTTTTTTAAAAACATGCTTTTGGTACTGTTTATATCTAATAGCTATAATATTCTATTTGTTCCTTTTTAATATTGTAATAACTCATTGTTTTCAGTTTTTAATGCTTGGATCCCTTTCATGAAAAGGCAGGATATAAATATTTTAAATAAATCTGCTGCATAGAAACTGCCCTAAATATAGGGAAAGGGGGCAATTGGATGTATACTAATCAATAGCAACATTCTCAGCAGATATTTGTTCAGGTGTCATGTGGCTATATTAAAACAAGAAACCTTTGGCCAGCTTAGTGACCGACCAGTTTCGTCTCTCAATAGACTCCTTGTTGGTTTTGCCACAATAGGCTAGCACAGTTGTTCCACCACTGTCTCCAAAAACTTTAGGCAATCTGCATTATTTGCAAATGGTTTTTTAAAAAGCAGTACGCGGAGATCTTCTGCTTTACACTGTGGGGCCCACCAATGGATTCAGCCTAGTATCTCTACTACTGTCTTCCGCAACAAGACGATAAACCACCATCTGAGCATGAGGATCACCTCTGTTGTGTTCCATACCTTGTCCAGGTTTACTTGATGGCAGGGAAAGGAAAATGTGAAACCCAACGGCAGTGCACGTCCCAAAATGCTGTGTTTACTGTTGAAATCCACAATACAGTGAACAATGTGGTCGAAAAGCTGCAGGAAGGAAAGAGACAGGAGTCCCACATGAGACAGAAATAAGCATGGAGAGAAGATGCAGATCTGCTATCTCTCCTACTCTGGCCACGCTGCACTGGCTGCCCATCCATTTCCACATTGACTTCAAAGTGTTGATGCTTACATATAAAGCCCTAAACGGTTTAGGATACTTGGCAGAATGCTTACTCCCAACTAGTTCTACCCATGTCACCCGCGCGACTCAGGAGGTGAGGCTGAGGATCCTGATGCCGAAGGAGGCCCGGAAGGTAAGACCTAGAACCCGGGCCCCCTCGCCTCTGAAATAACCTACCTCCAGAGATTCGCACTGCACCCTCGCTGGGTACTTTTAAGAACCAACTAAAAAATGGATGTACTGTATAGGCAGGCCTTCCCTTCCAGTTAATTCCTGTCCTCTTTCCTTTTTTATTCTTTTTCTCTTTATTTGATTTATTTTGTATTTTTCACATCTTGCAGAATCATTTAATTAATTAATTGCTGTAAATTTTTCTTGAACTTGTTATCCTTTATGTTGTAAGCCGCCTAGAGTGGTCGAAATGACTAGATAGGCGGGGTATAAATACAATAAATAAATAAATAAATAAAAGAGCTGGTCCCAATGCTATCAGGAACATCCCTCCCCATAGTCACCCATGTTCTAACTGGAAGACCCAGCTGGTCCATAACACAGACCCATCCAGGCCCCCCCTCCACCTGATCCCTTCTCTTGTACTTACCTGTGTGGCATTGCTCTGGGCAATTTCTGGTGGAATGGTATATGTCTCACTGGTCATACGCACGCCACCCTCTTCTCGGCCTTGCACCTGTACCAGCAGCACTCGGAAATTGGTCCCACCCAGATCCAGGGCCAGGAAATCGCCTCTCTCTGCAAAAGTAGAGTGTGGGTAAAGGGAGTCCATCCCCAACAACCCATGACTAAATCCATTTACAGAAAATGGAGCTTACTTTACCCACTTTTCTGTCAGGACCATTGCCAATCAATGTTGGCAATCACAACAAAAAGGCTCCAGGAAGTATTGCATTTACCTTCTGGCACAGTGACTAGTGTCAGACATACTATGGGGTTACAGTAGTAAGTCCTAAAATGGGCTATAATAGCAATATCACCATCATACAAATGTAAGATTAAAAATTAGGAAGTGAGTGCTCACAGAACAGTTGTGCCCCGCTTAATGATTGCCCCGCATTACGACGAATCCGCTTTATGACAATGTTTTTGCAATCACAATTGCGATCGCAAAACAATGGTCTAAATGGGGGAATTTTGCTTAGCGATGATCGGTTCCCTGCTTCGGGAATCGATTTACGCTTTACGCCGATCAAAAACAGCTGATCATCGGGTTTTCAAAATGGCCACCGGGTGCTTTAAATGACTCCCTGCTGTGCTTAGGGACGGATTCCTCACTATACAGGCACCGAAAATGGCCACCGTATGGAGGATCTTCACTGGACGGTGAGTTTTTGCCCCATTGGAACGCATAGAATGGTTTTCAATGCATTTCAATGGGGTTTTTAATTTTACTTTATGATGTTTTCGCTTAACAGCGATTTTCCTGGAATGGATTATGTAACACGTTTCAGTGAGTGAAGGGTTGTAGAAAAGGTTGAACGCTACTGTCCAACTAGGACTAGGAAATGTTTGTGTTTGTTAAGGTTGCTGCTGTTGTTTTTCCAATAAGAGGAAGGTCAACTGCAGCGAGGGTCCTGGGTCAAATAGAAGTCAATGGCCCAGGAAGACTTCCCTGAGATATCCAAGCCACCTAAGCATCTCAGAGCTCTTCCCTCCCTAGATCTGGGGCTGTTCACCAGCATATGCTTCCCTGCCCTCACCGGTGCCATCAGGCAAATGGCGCACATAAGTGGGCAACATGCGAACGGAGGCTTTGCTGTTCGTCTCCTTGGACAACCCCTTTTCCATCTCCTGCCTCATCTTGTTCCGTAGTTTTTCAAGCTCCACTATAGAAAGTCGGAAAGGTGCCAGGATCTGGTCCACCGCCTCGCGCTGCCTTCTAAGCCGCACTTCTACAGCTGCAACCAAGGCAGCCCCATAGCCGCTGCCATTCTCAGACTGGACAAATTTGACGGTACATTCAGGGACCAGGGACCTCAAGGTCTGCTTCAGTATCTCAACATACCTGGAAGGAGGAGAAATGTCAAAAGATTTTAAAGGCAAGCCATGGGGGTGGACCAAGTACGTACCTTTCTTGGCTTGTTTTCTTCTTTAGGCCTGTTGGAAAGGATTAGGAATATCTGGTGGATCAATTAATTGGTCTTTGGGCCAATTTATATTTTCCAGCCACTAGAATAACACCTCATTTCCTCTGATGAGAGCTCCTTAATGTCAGTTATATAGACAGGACTTTCAGTTCGGGAGGCTCCACTGTCTCGGGGAATTGAGTTAGAGTTGGGAGGCTAGATCCCTGGGTATTTGATTAACTGAAGCCCTATTCAGACATCAGTCTGAACACATGAATAGGGCTATGAATATGGTAAGAACATGGAAAGACTTCTCCTGGAAGTCAATCAGACCTCTATGCACTGAATACAAAGGTCTGAAGTTTAAATACGCTTAAATTAATTAGATTAGTTAAATACATTTACAATATATTTTTCCAAACTTTGTACTTTCTAGGTGTAATCCAGTAGTAAATGACCACTAGAGCAGCCCCACTGGTTGTACTTTCTAGGTGTAATCCAGTAGTAAGTCACCACTAAAGCAGCCCCATTGAATCAGTGGAACTTACAGAGAAGTTGACTTACTAAATCCCCACTGATCCTGTTGGCCTACTCTGTTTGCAATTTACTACTGTATTTTAGCCAATATGTTAACATCTCATTGACTGCTGCATGAGATGGGAGGTTGTGGAGTGCAGCTCTCTTACCTGTATATCGCCACCCCCTCCATGAATTAACCCAAATAATTACATGTTTGTGGGAACACTTGAATAGGGCTGTGAAATCAGAGTGGTTTATACAGGTTGCCATCCTAGGACTCATACTGAATTGACATAAGAAAAATGAATGGATCTGTTGGCTTAATGGCCTTCTAAATAGTGAATGGATATTTGGGTAAATAACTGATTTTATGACAAAGGCACCTGGCAGTCCTGAAACAAAGAATGTTGATTCAACCATCTAACCATAAAATCCAGAAGTTATTGTTGGCCACTGGACAAAGGATAATGGGATTGGGAAGCCCTTCTTGGTTTTGATCAAAGTAATTGCTCCTATCCCTTACTGAGTTTGACTCTTGTACAATTCCCCATCCACAGCCACGATGACTTTTAGTGACGTCAGCCCTTGAGCATTACGGATATGTGTGAGGATGCCAGCCAATCCAGCAGCACAGAGCCTGGCCGAACGGGTAAAGATGGCTTGACATATTTGCTGCACATGGAAACAGTCTTGGTTGCTCGCCACCATTCCCAGGCGGGCAAGAAAGTTCTTGGTTCTGGCCAGGCCCACTTTTTCACTGCAATTAAAAAGAACATATAAGAGTTAACAAGGGTGTGGGGGGAGGCAGAGAGGCATAGAGAAGACAGCATATAGGCTAATTGATCACAGAAAGATTAGGGTTGTCTATTCCAGTGGTTTTCAAACTTGAGTCCCCCTATGTTCTTGGACAGCAACTCCCAGAAATCATGGCCAACACAACTAGTGGTGAAGGTTTCTGGGAATTGCAGTCCAAGAACATCTGAGGACCTCAGTTCGAGAATGACTGGTCTATTCCAGTGGTTCTTAACCTTTGTTACTCGGATGCTTTTGAACTGCAACTCCCAGAAACCCCAGTCAGCACAGCTAGTGGTGAAGGCTTCTGGGAGTTGCAGTCCAAAACTCCTGAGAAACCCAAGGTTAAGAACCAGTGGTATTCCATCTGTAATGGACTGGTACTATGTATAAGCAGGCAAGGACTGTCATTTTTCTGACTGGCCTGTTACACACTGCCTATGGGAAGCACCAAAGGCTACATAACAAAAGCAAACAAGCATACTGTGATTATCCAAACTTCAAAAAAAAATGTAAAAAGCCAAAATGAAATCCTCAGTTGGGCAGTACCCATACGGGAAGCAAGAAACCTGGATTTGATTATTGGTTACATTAGCTTTCAAGACTGGTCTGCATTTTTCGCCGTGCTTGCACTCTTGTATGCTAAATGGTCTATATTTAGGAATGACAGAAACAGTGTCACAGTATCGTCAGCCCTGACTGCCAGTGGCTCTCCATGGTTTCAGGCCAGAGTCCTGTCCAGCCCTGCCTGAAGATGCATGGAGACAGAAGCTGGCACATGTTGCAGCGCAACACTCGTGTTCTGTTGCTACCCTGTAGTCTTTTCCAGTTGTGTTCCCGGCCTTGACTGATAATGTTTATTATTACCTTTTCGTAGTTTCATGAAAACATGTATTTTAAAACATTGACAATATAATAATATGAATAAAAATAAAAGCGGAGGGAGACATGAGACCAAAGTCACTTTTTAGAAGGACATCCACAGAGAGCATCTATCTCCGCAATCTTCTGAAATGGCCTCTGATTCCCCAAATATGCCTCAGGCCAGGCCTTTTAATAAGTGGCACAATTTCATGGGGAAATCACATACAGTGCAGCCTTTCATCCATAGATGTTGTGCTGAGCTGGGCAAATTTAGCCCTCCAGACATGGTTGGCTAGGAACTCCCTCCCATCCTCCCTCACCTCTGGATGTCTTGGCTTATGGGGCGTGCAGCCCAGCCCCATGGGGAGGGCCACCTGATGAACTGAGAATAAAACAATAGGTGCAGGGATGGAGGGGGCGAGTCGTGCTCCCCTACAACTTTCTCTAGAAACATACGAGTAATCAAGACCAGCTTGGTACAGATTTTCATAGGTCATCTGTGCACTCTGACACCATGTTTAATTTTTAAACCTATACAGTAGTATGTTGCCCTACGAGTAAGATTATGTGAAAGTGTGAGAAGGAAACTGTTCATGTTATTCATAGCTGTGTACATTTCAATCAGGTCTAGGGGAACCAGATATAAAAAGGAGGACAGATTTCCTTCCACTTGAATTGGTGGCTCAGAGACCAAAGGGGAAGGGGTGCTCTAGCCACAAACTGGCAATGTGCAGTTCTGTAGAAAAGGGAGTTTCATGGGGGAGTTTCATGCCAAGCAATCTTCTGTGCAACCAGGAAAAGGCGTCTTATCATCCTTTGCATCTGACTACCCAAAGCATATATATATATATATATCTCCCTTGTAAGCTGCCTTTAGAAAGCCCATGTCATCTTAAGGTCAGATGTTCCAGTCACTTGCCATCCGGGTTGCTTTTCTTGCAACTCTCTTTTGACATGGCTTTACAAGGACAGTGTGATCAAATTAGCGATTTATACCGAGGCAGTATATTTTCTAGCCCTTTTGCAATAATTCCCAAAGCACTGTCAGCTTCGTTGTCAGCTGCAGTGCATGGACCTGAGGTTTTAAGAGCTAATCTCCAACAGGCGATTCCTGCTCTAAATGTACACGCAGCAGTTTTTCCTCCTGCTGCGGCCCTATGCAGATATAACTGGGGTTTCCAGACAGGGAATGAATCTGGGAAACACATCCTCATTTCCGCCTCCCACCTTCCCTTCCTTTAATCATGGTTTAGTGTTATGCCTAAATTACTGCAAGCCATTGTAAATAATAACCAAGTTTCTCATCCAAAACAGAGATTAAGAGAAATCTGGCTGGCATTAGCTACTGCTAATTTCACTGTAGATATAATACTACAGCACAATTAAGGTCTATAAGGGAGGGAGGGGGGAAATCCATGTTCAGGAGGAAGAAGGAAAGAGATATTTGTAAAGCTTATCATTTTCCTAGTGTTGTGGGAATCTTTCTCTAACTTTTCATGTAGTACACAAGAAATATGTACATCTCCTTGAAATGATACACAATGCATAAAAGGACTTTCCATGTATGAAGCATCTTGAAAGTTACTCAGATTTTGGGAACGGCATACTCATTTTATTCTCCTACATGGAAAGAAAACAGGTTTATTATATTCACGAAGGCTTTCACGGCCGGGATCTAATGGTTGTTCTGGGTTTTTCGGGCTCTTTGGCCGTGTTCTGAAGGTTGTTCTTCCTGACGTTTCACCAGTCTCTGTGGCTGGCATCTTCAGAGGACAGCAACCTGTGCTCTGACCAGAGGACAGCAACTTGTGCTCTGACCAGAGGACAGCAACTTGTGCTCTGACCAGAGCACAGGTTGCTGTCCTCTGAAGATGCCCATGGCCACAGAGACTGGCGAAACGTCAGGAAGAACAACCTTCAGAACACGGCCAAAGAGCCCAAAAAACCCAGAACAACCAAAACAGGTTTATTTTATAGAAAAGGACCAGAAACCATGAACATGGGCAAAATCCTGTTCACACAAGAATAATGAAAAATTACACCTGTGTAAAGGTGCCAGATGCTATGTCAAGCAACAAGGAATTGCACTGTTCAGTCGTGCAGATTGGTCTTGTGTCTCCAGCACAGACAGACAGACAGACAGACAGACAGACAGACAGACAGACAACAGCACATCTGCTTCAACACTATAGTTACTACCACGGGTGCAAGAGGATTTTGCCCACTGTTTATTTTAATTTGTGAACATGGTTATCTCAGGTTTTTACTTTCAAACCTGCTTTTCCTCTTCAAAAAAGAGGTGTCCTAAAATGATTATTTTTGTCATGATGGAGCTGTTTATCAAGTATGTCACACCTTCAAAAAAATTGAACTCACTATAGCTTAAAATTTATCACTCTAGTAAACAGACAAACCATGAACCACCAAGATGCTTAAGTACAGTGTTATTTATGTATGTCTTGAAAGGGAGTACCATATTCTGTGGAGAAAGAAGCCTGCCAGGTTGGGTACAAGAAGACTAGGGAAAGGGTGGCGGGGAAGAGGAACAGAAAATGGAGGCAGCAGAGAGGTACGATGTAGCAGAACATGGAAAGATTAGGCCAAATGCCAGAACATAAAAAGAGGAAAGAGGAAAGGCGGGGGGGAGGAAAATGTGCCTATACTGGGATGGAAAACGAAGATGCTACTGAATGTACGACGTTGCACATTAGCTCATTCCCTCATCTTCCTTATAACAGTTATTCTCTCCTCCTTTGACTCAGTGAGAGAGGTACAGTATGTTGTTAGTGACCCCTAAACTCCTTTTTCTTTGACACTTTTCTTTTTCTCTCAGCGAGTTTTATTCTGACAAATACAGCAGTGTATCTTTGTGTTCTATGACATATGTGCCAGGTTAGTTTATTACTTCTTCTGCTCCAATGTATCAGCCAAAGATTACATTAATTTTGAGGGCTTATCTCTCCCGCTTGCCTTGTTTAGGGCTAGCTTACAAGAGACCCAGCTTCTGGGAGGATAAAAGGGTGAACAGGTATCTCAACATTGGCCCAAGGGATTCACTTACTCTATGATCTCCACAACATCCTGGAGTTCCACCTTTCCTTTGGTCATCAGTGTGGGAGTCAAGACCCCATTAAAGAGTTCACCTTTCTCAGCAAGATTGGCTAGAATCACACGAATGGTCTCACACAGATACAAGCTACCGACCAACTTCTCAAACCTGGTAGCAAAAATAAAGATTAAAATGAATGCAGAAAAAGAAGGAAACGGAGTGAAAGCAGTGAGCCACCAACCTGGGCAGCTGTCAGATAAGTACAGTCAATTCAGCTTAATGTTTAAGAGAAGGCATGGGCACTTATCACAATACTTCCTACAGACAATGAATTACAGTATGCTCCGACCCCATAACAATAATTGAGTGCAAATATATGAAGCATCCTGTGTCTACATAGGATCCCAGAACTGGCCATGCTGGTGCTAGAATCCAAGTTCCAGAATATACGTGCATGTATATCCCAACGTTTGTGTGTGTGTGTGTGTGTGTGTGTGTGTTTGTGTGTGTGCGTGTGCGTGTTCGTGCGCGTGTGCGTGTGCGTGTGCGTGTGCGTGTGTGTGTACACATCATTTTCACTGGAAAGTAATTAACATCACCAAGCGAGGCACCACTGTATAATATATTCATCCTGCACAATTAGTGGCAGATATAAGTAGTGTCAGTATCCAGGAACAAAAAGTTAGAATAAAGAAGAAAAGTTTAAATTCAACATTTTACACATAGTGTTGTTGTTACGTGCTGTCACTTATGGTGACTCTAAGGAAGTGTGATCTCCTGTCGATAACTCAACATTGAGCCTTATGGCGCAATGGTTAAAACACTGTACTGCAGCTAAGACTGTGCTCACGACCTGGGGTTCAATCCCAGGTAGCCGGCTCAAGGTTGACTCAGCCTTCTATCCTTCCGAGGTCGGTAAAATGAGTACCCAGCTCGCTTGGGGTGGTGGTGGTGGTGATGTGTAGCCTGCATAATTAACTTGTAAACCGCCCAGAGAGTGCTTGAAGTGCTATGGGGCGGTATATGAACAGCACACTTTGCTTTTACTTTGCTTTGTCTTGCTCAACACTTGCAAGCTCTAGCCTGTGGCTTCCTTTAGGGAGTCAGTCGATGTCGTGTTTCATCTCCTCAGCTCGCTTGGGGTGGTGGTGGTGGTGATGTGTAGCCTGCATAATTAACTTGTAAACCGCCCAGAGAGTGCTTGAAGTGCTATGGGGCGGTATATGAACAGCACACTTTGCTTTTACTTTGCTTTGTCTTGCTCAACACTTGCAAGCTCTAGCCTGTGGCTTCCTTTAGGGAGTCAGTCGATCTCGTATTTCATCTCCCTCTTTATTGTCTTTTCCAGAGAACCTTGGCTTCTCATGACGAGCCCAAAGTAGGACAGCCTCCGTTTCATCATCTTTTGCCTCCAGAGATGGTTCAGGATGGGTCTGCTCTAGGATTCACTAGTTTGCCTTTCTGGTATTCCACAGTATCTGCAAAGCTTTTCTCCAGCAACATAGTTCAAAAGAATCATTTTTTCCCCTGTCAAGATTTCTTCACTGTTCAGGTTTCACACTCATACATGGTGACTGATAATATAAGAGTGTGGATGATATAATGACACATCTTTACACTTGATGATTGTTTCTAATTCCTCCATTGCTGCCCTTCCAAGTCTCAGTCTCTTCTGATAAGTGTAGTTTTAAAATTCTTAAAAAATAGAACTAGCTAAATGCTTGCTGTCGGATAACACTGGACTTTATTTTTACTTTCAAAATCGATCCCCTCGAGTGTTAAGAGTGCTAATACAGTATGTGATCACATCACCAGAATCATGGGGGGGGGGGGGAGAGGCAAGCCAACTTCAGCAGCACCAGCACTTGTCCACCCCACTTCCATGAATATTTGAGGCAGATGCGCCTCTCTTGTCAATCCCATGTTACACAATTTAGCTATGAAAGCACATATGCGCACATAGCAAATGTATTTTGTGTATAAACTAGTCCTCAGAATCAAGAGAACCGCTGGCTTTGGTCTTCACCTGAATAGGGAAGGTGGGATATCTTTCTCCTGCACAACTCTTTGGTCGTCTGACTTGGATGACAAAATAAGGCTGGAATTGCTCTGCTTTGGAAGGAGCAGCTCAACAAACCACAGAGTTTTGCTTTCTGGGTTTTTTGTTTGTTCCTTTTTTGCCTGTCACCTAGAGTCCCCTTCCAACAAGCCAAAGAGGAAACTATGTCTGTGTTCAGATGACACATCAAACAAACCACAGAGCAAAGCTGTAAGCATGAGCGATCAGGCATGTTGCAGACTATCATCCTTTTCCTTGACACCAAGGCTAGATCGACACATCTCTTTTAATCCCTCCTCACTGTAGTCACTCAAGTTGTACCACATTCTAGATCAAAATGTTTGCAGGTTTGTTGGGGTTTTCTTTTTGTTAAAATCTACGGCAACATCAGGCTCCGTTTTCACTATATTTTGCTATATATTAACTCCCAAGCGAAAGGAAACATGTGTGTTGTGTGGTGTTAATGGGGAAGCCTCTCAATCCACTTTGATGTGTCCTTTTCCTGATGTGTAGATTTGGTCCCAACCAGTCTCTTCCTCCTCCCTGTCCCCAGAGCTTTTCAGTCTCCCTCGCTTACTCCCCTCCCTCCAAAGATCCTGATTTTCATGAAATTCAAATATTCCATTGAGAATTGTTTATGCACACAAAGTAGAAAGATGCTAGCTAAACAATTATAAACAATTCTACAAACAATTATAGAATTGGAGTTTGTTTACACAGAAACTGCATTTGGGGTACTGTGACTGTGCATAATCCTGATTATTCCACCACATCCCATTAATCAAGCTCAGTGATAATGGATGACACCGTTCCTTCTTCTGTTACATTATCTGCTTCCTAGATATATGTTCTTTTGCAGGACAAAACACAGCAGCATTAAACAAGCCAATGTTTCTGAGCTTGCATGGAAATTACCTCATTTATATATATTATATTATATTATATTATATTATATTATATTATATTATATTATATTATATTATATTATATTATATTATATTATATTACTTTTCCCAAAGCTGATTACAGGTACAGATAAAAATATATTTAAAAAGAGGTGCAGATATAGACATACAGAAGATGATAATATTAAAACACAATTAAACAAGATATACTACTATAAACATACAGGTCCAAGTTTTTTGGAACCTCTCCACTTATAAAGAAGGAATCATGTCATTAGCAGAGGCAGGTTGCCACTAATAAAAGAGTCCCTGTTATGATTTTGCGGTCCATAGAATTTTATGTTGCGCTCTTACTCTTGGACAAGAAATCTGATATTATAAAGCAGTGGCAAAGTTTTTTGTAGCAGTAATGAAGTGTCACTGTTCCCTCCTTGCACCAATTAAAGCAATGCCAGATGTTTAGTAATGGTGTGTATTGGTCACTATCTCCTCACTCCTGTGAAACTATGGAGATTCTATAAAATGTAATCATATTGTAATAGGCTAGTAATATTTTAATTGTATTTTTGTGTTATACTTATATATATAATAATGATATTTGAATATATCTACTGGTTAATGATCATAATAAAGATCAGAATCAGGATTTTGGGGTTCACACAACATCTTATCGTGCACAAGTTGCATACACCCCTAAATCAAAGCAGGGACTCTTTAATACCTTTTCGTTATCAGCTGGCCAGACCGTTGCTGAAAGACTGTAGGAACAGAAAGGGCTTTAACTGCCAGCAGAAGAACAACTGGGAGGAGACAAGTCTTGCCTCTCTCTTGGAAAGGTGTTTCAGAGTTTGGGAGGAGCAACTAAGAAACCCCTATCTCGTGTTTTCACCAACACGGCTTTGAGGGTGATGGAATTGAAAGGTGTCTTCCAGAGCCCATGTAGGATCTTATCCCAGAATGCCATTCTTCAGAAGTCTTCCTCATTTCTTTAACAACAACTCACCTGTATTTGCCTTGATCCATGGATTGCCTGTCCATTAACAGGTCAAACTCTGTCAGGAGATGGTTCATCTCACCAGCATTCCCAAAAGAGCCCCATTCAGTGTTTACGCATATGCGTCCTTCGCTTTTACCCAAGCCGGCTATACGCTGCATCTCTTCAATGTAGCAGCAGTTAGTGCCAACATCTATCACAGGCAGGAAGAGAGGAGTCAGGGAGAGGCATCCAAAACAGAGGGGAAATGGCATTCTTACTGAAATTCCTGGCTGCATGGCAATGCAAAAACAGAAGAAAACATTCTGCCCGCTTCTAAAAGATGGTTCTGCCTTATAGGGTGTCACTAATCCTATCCATGACAATGGCTACTGCTTGCCATTTGGATGAAATGGAAGCTCTTCCTGGCATGTGTGTATAGGATATCCTCCTAGCCTGATTCTTAAGAACAGTTCGTTATTTATGTGGCTTTCCTGAACCATATGAGCCTTCTCAGCATTTAAGGTCATCAAAGGAGACCCTTCTTTCAGTCCCACCGGCAGCGCAGGCACTGTTGATGGGGACACAAGAGAGAGCCTTCTCTGTAGCAGCTCCCGGATTATGGAGTGCTCTCCCTCAGGAGATCAGGCTGGCTGCCGCCCTTTCATCCTGCTGACAGCTGATGATGCACCTTTTCTGGCAGCTTTTAACAATCATGATCAAGTCCCTGAATGCCATTTTTAAAGTTAAGATAGTTTTTAGCGTTTACCTGCTTTTGATTATGCAAGAATATTTTAATTAGAGTATAGGTTAATTTTTCAAATTCTCAACTTATTATGCTTTTAATTCTATTCTTTTAATATTGTGAGCTGCCTTGGTCCCTTTATCTGGAGAAAGGCGCCTTATAAACAAAGCAAAACAAAATTCTCAGCTCAGATGCTTCCCAAGGATTAACAAGAGCGAGCTTCCTAGCAAAAAGCCAGCGCCAACCCCATGTGCTCCTTCCAGCTCAGCAGCACTGCTAGCATGTATCCAGCTTTCCTTACCGATCACAAGTCCAACCTCACAGGGCTCTGCTTCAGAGTTGGCACTCAGCAAGGTTCCCACCGTATTGTTTACCACAGCAAGGACCTCTATTTGGTAATTCTGGAGTGGCCAAAAGAGAAAGGAAGATTTCAGCCACTCTTCTATTCTCACTTATCCAGAGACACCTCCCTTCTCCAGCACAGATATGGATGCTTTAACCACAGCTGATCCAGCCATGTTGGTCACCTTGCAGTGTTGGTTAAGAGCTTTTTGGAGCAGATCTGTCACATCCTGTCCCTCTGCATTCAGCCACCGGCTATCCTTGGTCCACTTGATCAGCTTGCACTAAGGGAAAATGAGATGGGGAGACCTTTGGTAACACAGGGACCTCCAGGGAGCCTGCTTTTAACGAACACCCATTCTTAAGGCAGAATGTACAGAGCAACCAAACTGCTTCTCCTCACAGGCATGTAGTTTTGCTTCCTTAAGAGAATAAATGGCACACACATGGACACCTATTCTACTTAAAGAACCTGATTACTGTAGTAGCTGAATCTTGTATCTATCCTGAAACAACATTGCCCACCGCACTTGGAGCCAGCCAGCCAACTGAGAGCAGGGGTAAACCACATGCAGCTGTAGACACCCCAAAATGAGCTGCTCAGCTGCCCTCCCCCCAAGTTTTGTTTAAAATCTACTTTAAAAACAATGTTTTGCTCAAATGCCACTCCTTTACCTTCCAAGAGGCATAGAGGAAATGTGGCCATGCTTTGTCCCCAGGGCCCCCGATCCTCAGATCCATAATATACGTGTTTATGTTTATGTGAGTGTGTGTGTGTGTGTGTGCATGTACGCGCACACACACAAACACACACACCAGCTCTTAAAAGGTATGAGGGGTCTTTTTCAGTGAAGAGGGGTTTTTTTGAACATATTGAACCTATTTTGGATATCGGTAAGGCAGGACAGTGGGGCCAGCTCTCTAAGGCCCGGGGAGGGAGGGAGGGGTCCGGCTCTTGTGTTTCTGGAGGTGGCCAAGCCAAGTAATATCTACAGTGAAGCTCTTATTGTTTCTTCCAAATGCAGCTCCATTTCAGAGGCACAAACTCACGAATGCCGATAGTATCCATGCATGCAGGATGCAAACAAGGGCCACACACTACTATACTGCTGTAATTCCTTGGAAAGTCAGAGGGGTCACACTGAAACATCAGGTTGTTGACAGGTTTTAGACTTAGAGTCTGCTCACACCAGCCAAATGTTCCTTAATTATACACCAGTTAGATTGTTGCATGCATTTCGGGTCACATGACGTATGGCCATGATTGAATCATTTTCCTGGCCAGTGGTGTAACTGCAGGTCCCCCCCCCCAAATCAGGAGGGTTGTGTTATTTTGTTCTGATGACATTTTGATACATTCTTTATGCTTGTGTGACCTTCACTATCAACAGCAGCTTCCGCAGCTAAGGTCCCCTCACTGTGCCTCTCGCCAGACCAAGGCACCACCTCAGAGAAGTGAGCCCCATCCCATGGGGCTCAGCGCAGGGGTGGCAGTGAGTATGTCTGGCCTTTGCCAGCAGAGGGAGGGAGGCCTGAGCTGATGGAGCCACATGGAGAAGCCTCCGAGTGATCCCATATGGGGGAACGGGCACTAGGGAAGGAGTGAGAATGAATACTGTGGGCACCTCGCTCTGCAAGATAAGGCTGCCAATACCCCAGCTCCCCGTAAAGCCAATCTATATAATCGAGACTATAGGCTAAAACAACTGGAAGCAACCAGTGGAGCAAAGGGCTCAAGAAATTAAGGCAAGCTGTAAGGAGCAAAGTATAAAAGAACCTCTATGACGTATCTCTACAAATAAAAAGGAAGGGGCTGCACTGCCCCAGGAAACAAGAGAGGAAATAGGTCGGTTCCATAGTGTAGCTAGCCAGAATGTTTCAAATAAGAAGAAATGAATTAGTAATGTTAAAACAAATGGGAACGTTTGCCCTAGTATATGTGCCACGTGACCACGATTCAGTACAACAGAGGTATGGAATGTATCATTTGAACTGGAAAACATTTGGCTGGTGTGATCAGGCCCTTAGTAACTGAAGGCACAACTTCACAGCTGTGAAGTAATGCATGTTTAAAAATAAATTCTGCGGTTATTCTGGAGTTATGTGCAGCTGTGCAGTTTTGTAGGTGTGCTGTGAAAAAAAAAGCATTTTTTTAAAAAAAAAAATCTCAGGAACTTCCTGCCTACAAGTCTTATCAAAATCCCTGTAAAGAAAAATGAGGGGAAAGACATGGGGGCTGGGGAGAAGGGAAAACACTTATGCTGCCATTTCCGGCTGATGTCTTCTGTGGTTATTCATAGCGGCCCAAGCGGCCCCCATAGATGCACAGAAGACAAGAGTCTTAAAGCAACAGCCACTGCTACACCAATTTTCTGCCTGTAAATGCAATGGAAATTCTTGCACAGAAAGAGCTTGAAAATGGGGGGGGGGGCGGCGATGAAGAAAAGGAGAAGGGAATGATTGCAAATTATATTTTGCATTTTAAAGCCAGTCCCACCATTACAAGTTATAATATCACCAGATCAGAACACACTTCACTGAAACAGAGCCACTGAAGAAGGTCAGCATGAAAGCTATTTAGGGGGTGGGGGCGGGGGCTGGTGAAGAGAATATTGAGAGAGGAATAGCATTAGGAAAACAGGTGGCAGAGCTGGTCATCTGCCACACGTGTGAGCCAGATGCTCCTGTGATTGAATACAACAAGCAGGTACTGTAGATTTACTGTCTCCCTGCCAACACCACTGTTCCTCCTCCCCCCCCTATTTTGTAGGGCCAAGAATGGAGTACACAGAATTTTTCTCCATAGCCACCTTTCCCCTTGGGAACATTTGCAAGGCAAGGTGTACAAGTATGGCAATGTTTTATATCAGCTTTGTTGGCTGTTTCTTCCTTCCCAGCAAGCCAATGCCCTCCTACCAGACGTAAGAACTCTTCAGGGCCCCGTACCATCTGCCGCTAGTGCTAAGCCATCAAAGTATTCACCTGGGTCAGCGTGATGTGCTCGCAAGGGAAGGGAAAGCAGAAGCCCAGTGGGAGATACTTCTTGTTGATGTTAAGGCCATTCAAAAACGTGGCCAGGCATTGTGCCATGAATTCAAAGACCTGGAAAAGTAAACAGGACATGATGAGTCTGACAGGTCATCCTTCCTCCCTCCCACATGCCCTCAGTTCACTGCAAAGGATAACACCAAATGGTTTTATTTATCTGGTATATATTTATCTGCTACCAATACAGTCCAAGGAATTCTGTCAGAAATGTTCTTTTCTGTTGTGTGCTCTCAAGTTGGAACTGACATATAGCAACCCTGATGAGGCTTTCAAGGAAAATGAGATATTTCAGGAGTGGTTTTACCAGTTCCACACCCCCTGGTGAGCTTCCATGGCTGAGGGGGAATTTAAATCCAGGTCTTGTTCTAGTCCATCACTTTGACCACTACATCACACTTGACATCTGTCATTGGGTATCAGAAGTGAGACCTTGTCAAATCATCTATACAAGGTTTTCTTTTAAAAAATCATCCTAAACTACTATTATCATTGTTGCTGTAACTGATGATAGTATTATGGTATGGTTACAGTATCTCCTACCATTATAGAACCTGTAACTCCACCGTAAGCAAGACTTTAACAAATAATCCAGATATTTTTTCATCCTCCTTAATCTCCACCATCGTTATCATTATTTTCTTAGTGGCCACTTTACATAAAATAAAAATAGTGTAAGACATTTGTTCCAACTCAGAAAAGGCCAATGATGCTATAACACCATTGATAAGACTTACACTGGCCCCAAAACGTGGCATAGCTCATAACACTGAGAGCTCCATGGCTGGAGCTGGGAGAAAGTAGTCCAAAGCTGTCCAAAAAGGTGACTCAAGGTAACAAAGATGCACAAAGATGGGCCATATGTGGTGCTCCTCTCCATGTACTTATCTCCTAAGCCACACATGCACACAAATATGTAAATACACACTATTTCAACTACTGTACATAGAAAAACACATACATCAATCATGGAAAATTGCATGAGAGTGGAGTGGTTAACTCTAGCATTGGAACAGTGAGGCTGATTTTTTACTGTGAAATGCAGAGGATCTTGCTTACTCCCAAGAACACAGAAAGCATCTATACACATTGTATTTGGGTAGAAGGACATCTGGCAGTATTCTGTTGGACTTATGTGTTTATAGATATAGGGTTGCAGCCCAAATGAAGAAACCAGTTTCTGAAAAGCCAAGCAGCAGGTGGAATGGAGGGTGGAAAAAGAGGGGGAAAACATTTGAGGAAAAGATCCAAAATAGGAGTTTCAGAAGAGCAGAAAGAGTGAAGAGAGAGAAGACAGGAGTAACTTCATTGAGAAATGGGGGGAAAGAAAATTTCAAACTTGACTATTGTTGTTGTTGCTTGATGTGCTGTCAAGTCACCTCTGACTTATGGCAACTCTATGAATGAGCAATCTCCAATACTGTATGTCCTGTCCTAAACTGCCCTGCTCAGCTCTTGTAAACTCTAGTCTGTGGCTAATTTAAGGAGTCAACCCATATCATATTTACTCTTCCTCTTTTCATGCTGCCTTCAACCTTTCCCAGCATTATAGTCTTGCCTCCTTATTATGTGCCCAAAATATGAGAGCTGATTTTCATCATTTTTGCCTCCAGATATAGTTCAGGTTTGCTTTGCTCTAGGGCCCACTCATTTTTATTCTACCAATTTTCACTTCTCCTTCAACTGAATCTAGTCCACTTCCCTGTATATGTTCCACAAGCAGATTGCTCTGCATACAGAAAACCCTATGATGAGACAGTCCAAAATGAAACCAATACTCAATAGAGGAAAACCAAGTTTAACCAAAATTGATAGGAAAGATGAAGCGAATGAAGACAGCAGAAGGATATCAAGAAGGTTCAGTAGACAAGCTCTGTACCTGCTCTCCATTGCCATTGATAATCTTCTCTGCAAGTGGAAAAGACCTTCTCTTTACTACCTCTGGTTCATCAGTGTCATCTGTCAGCTGTAAGAGCAGAACCTTCACATGAGAGCGGCACAGCTCGAGACCGATAAAATCCCCTCGCTCTGTAAAACAGGAGCAAACGTCAGGGTGCTGAGTGATTAGTGCTGCCCCCACCTCACTCATCCCAGCATTCCCATCTGACTTGTTTTCCAACTGGCAGATAAGATGGGGGGGGTGGGCTACCAAGGTGTCTCCAAGCCTTTTCTCTAGCCTTGTTTCAGTGCTTCTTATTTGGCAAGGCTGCACACATAGATAGGCCTAAATCCAAACATTAGTCCCAACTAGACTCGTTCCATTGAAGAAATGGTACTTCCATTAGATATAAAATAAGCAATGGTTGATTAATTCCCTCTGGGAAGAGAGGCAACGTATTTATTGTATGGGACTGCAGCTGAAATTTCTGTTATTATGGCACATGCTCATTAATTTCTCAGGTGGGGTTGGTAGTGCACTTAGGCAAGGCTGGTCAGGAGTCGCCCTCCAGGTGTTTTGGATCAGCAGCATCCATCAGCCCAAGCCAGCACAGCCAGGGGTGAAGAGAGATGATTTGAGTCCAAGAACATCTGGAGGCCCTAGGTTGGGGACCACTGACTTAAAGGATAGAGGGCATCCATGTGCTGTTGATAATGTATGGTGGGAATATGGATTTGTTTCTCCAGCTGAGCTCCATCCCTTTAACAAGAGATGTGTGGAAATGACAGATGTCATTTTGCAAGCTGTGTTCAGCAAGACTGCACATGTCTATCTCAGCTTCCCACCTACTGCAGACAAACCAGACAGGCCAGGCCAGTCCCTTCATCTTCAGTCAAGTGGCTGCCTGTCTCCAGCTGAGCTGTCTCTTGGGCAACCCCAGCGTGCATGGAGTTACACTGCTAGGCAGGCAAAACGCTGTGTAGGCAAAATGCAGATTGCCAGATTCCAAGACATTCTTACATGGGTGCTTGGCAAATAGGGAATTATCCCCCTCATAAGACTCTGCAAATGATTTAAGAGCATTTTGTGTTTTTTTTTCCTTCTTCCTTCTCCCATTCCCAAGAAAAATACATATTGTTTGGGGAAAGGAACTCTATATGTACCCACACATGCACTGCCCCAGGTGCTAAGATTTGTTAAGACAATTGTCAATGCCATACTTGATGTGGCACCAGAGACAAGACAAAGTTTTTCATTGAAAACTGGACAACAAAGATGAGACAGAGGAAATGTAGATGAGAGGTCAATTGAAACAATATAAAGTATATCTTTGTGTTCCATCTCTGAAAGGTTCTGTCACGCTAGCCAAGGATCTTGAGCTTTCCTCGTCCCCCAGTCCAGGTAAATGCAAGGCTGGCTAGTCAGGGAAAAGAGAAACTAGAGGACAATCAAGCCTGGCCTGCGCAAGGTAGCGTTTTATAGCATGGAAATAAATGCTGATGTACTAAGTAAGGGGCGGGAATCAGATAGCAATATTGGATAGCATTGGAAAAGGTTGCTTTGCTGGGTGCAATCTTTAAAGTGACATTTCAAAGTGATCCTTCTGTCCACATGAAACCCAGTTTCCTTTATTCCAGCTGAGATTTAAAAAAGAAAGACAGAGGGGGGGGAGAGGAGTTCTGGTCCAGACTGGGCAAGGAGCAGGATCAAGCTGTTTCATGATCCCCTGTATGCCTTGTGCTTACTAGAAAATAGATTGAAGCAGACTATGCTATAGGTGAGAAAAAAAGCAAGCATCTGATCGCATCCTAACATTGTCAGGCCAGCATCCCATTCCCTGAGATTTCAGAACCAAAACCTGTGATCAGGGGACAAGACTTTGTGATGTCACAGAGGTGGGTCAGGGAAGGATTTGGGAAGGGAATGAAACTGTGTGTGGACTGGCTGGTTGTGGAAATGGGCACAAGCAGAATCAGACTAAAGAGATCCACTATCCAGGTAAATCCTGCTTAACTATTGTACATAGCAACCCAAAACCAAGGAGAGAAAGGCATTTTTTAGCAGCTGGGCAGGCAGCAGATGCTGAAAGTTTAATGCCAGCCCATAAAGTGCCCCCCCCCCAGTTCAGTTCTGTGTTACTGCTGTTTTATGTTAGCATCAACACTGGCACTTTATGCCTTGCTTTACTTCAAATGCCATGATGGACTCAAGAAGATGCACCCACTGGTTCTCTCACCAGTTGTCCCTGCTCACTCCTGGCTTTTTGGTGCACTAATATGCAGGCAGACATCACACAGTATATAAACACCTTTGCTCTGAGCTAGTGAACCGGGTAGGAATGTGTGGAAATGGATGCCCAGACGGGAAAACCACCTCACACATACTAATCAAACTTTCTCCTCCAGTATCATTTGCCTTGAGATTTAACTTTCCACTTGAAGCCCTGGGGAAGTGTAGCCATTCCCTGAGGCTTCTCTGAGACCTGGCAGCCCTGGTGCTAATGGCTGCCCATCAAAGAGATGTTCAAAATACAGCACTTTCAAAAGATGGCAATTCTGGTGGATGCCTGCGAGAAAGGGTCTAGAGTCTAGAACAATGGTTCCCAACCTTGAACCCCCCCAGATGTTCTTTGACTAAAACTTCCAGAAGCCTTTACCACTACCTGAGCTGGCTAGGATTTCTGAGAATTGTAATCCAGGAACATCTGGGGACCCAAGGTTGGGAAGCACTGATCTAGAGATCCGTTTTAGGACTCGGTGGAAGGATATCTGGAGTAAAGCACACTTACCAGTGCCGTCAGGCAAAGTGCAAACATAGGAGGACAACATTGGTAAAGAGCTTCCTTCTTTAATCTTCTGCTTTAGACCGCTTTCCATGGCTGCCAACATGCTGTCTTTCACCTGCAGAAGTTTCTCTTCGGGTACATAAAAGAGTTCTACATACTTCTTTATCTGCTCAGAAACAGAAGAACTTTTAGAGGAAGCACGGTGTGGTACTAGTCTGTGAACAGGAGCCGTATCCCTGGCATCCAGGCCTTCATCTGGGCCCATTTTAGAATAGGATACAAATGAAGCCATAAGGCTTGTCCTAGGCATGGGAACAGCAAGCGCGTCCCTGGAGTCTGGTGGCAAACTTGAATGGGACATGGCAAAAGAGACGAAGGAAGAGCTGGCGACATCAGACTCTTGGTCGAGAGGAGAGAAAGGGTCCCTTCCAGAACGGCCAAGAGGCTCCCTCTCAAAAGAATCTATGGCACGGGACTCCGATTCATTATAAGCAAATAAGGTGTTGGAGGCTGGATGTGTGTCTGAGGAGGTATTTAACATAAATGAAAATTTATGAGAGCCCCCGGAAGCTGGGCTGCCATCCGATGCGCTGTTTAGCATGAAAGAAACTCTGGAAGAGGCTTTGGAAGAGGCGGAAAAGCCTGAGTCTGGGTCTGACATGGTAACAGTTCCCCAAAGGCCCTGTCTGTAGGCTGCCAAGCAATGGAAAAGTGAGTGAGGAGTGAGGGGGGAGGGGCAGACCTGTGTGTGGTGGGGGACTGGAGAGTCAATTCAGATCAAGGATAGGGAGGATGTGAAGCAGAAGGCATGGAGGCCAGTTTTGAAGTTGTGTGGCCAAGGCATCAAGAGTCACAAAGATCGGTGTTGGAAGGGGGCTGGGAGGGGCTCCCTCCCTATGTTGAGGGAGCAGATAAAAAAAAATGAGGTAGAAAAAGAGAGAAACAAAAAGCTAGAGAAAAGGAGGAAGAACAGAAGGTGGACAGGACAGAGAGGGAGAAAGAAAAAGGGTTGAGTGCAATGGGGGAGGGGCAGAGAAAGACTGGAAGGCTATTGGAAGAGCCATACAATGAGAACGGAATGGAATGGGATGGAATGGAATGGAATGGAATGGAAGGGGCTAGGAGGACAGTCTGAGGCCCCAGAGAGTTATGAAACTCTGGAGAGGAGCATTTCATTGTCTAAATCAGGGGTTAGCCTCCACAAGTTATGGACTCTAATTATCCAAAGACTCATTCAGCATGGCCAAAGTTAAGACACTTAAGAATTCGAATGAACCATCCTCAAAAATCAAGATTTTTGCCTATGTGCAATCAGGCACCAGGACGGCCCACTCCCAAATAGGAAGCAGAAAGAAAAAGCCTTTTTGCAATTTTGATCGGCAGATAGCTGCCTTTAACAGTCACATAAGATGGGCAATTTAAGTGCACACGCCTCATACAAAGCTCTGCGGCTGAAATGCCTTCAATGAATTAAAATACCGGTGCCCTATCTTTTGCAAATGGGTTGCCCTAATGTCAGATTTCAGAGAGAAAGATAGGGAGGTTCTCTTTGCAAGCCCCATTGAGAAAAACCAATGGAATTGAACGGTGGGAGCTATAAACCAAAACATCTGGAAGGCCAAAGGCTTCCACACCTGATTTTAGTTATAGTCTGGCTAATGCAATTCCAATGTGAATCCAATCTATTAATGCACACACAGAGTGGGCTACAATAGGTTTTTTTTGTTTTTTTGGCCACAGTTCATTCTGACTATTGGAGTCTACGGATGAGCCTCAGCCTAAGCCTGGAAAAGTATTTACAGCAAGCCTTCAATGGAAGCCAGTGATGTTATCTTACTTGGCTAATTCTGGGGTAGGGTGGGATAGGGCTGAGACTGACGCTGAGGCTCAGAAACATATGACAACTTGCAGTGTTGTCTTGCTCTAATTCCCAAATTATAGGTTGACAGCTGGGCTAAAAGAGTATACAAAATCTACAATGTAGTGCACTGCTGTTATCCCCCTGTTGGCAGCAGCAGGGTGTGTGTGTATGTGTATTGAGATGTTTGTCTTGTCTGCTCTTACTTAGTGCAATGACTTTTTCTATGAGTTTCCGCACCTTTTAGTCCCTCCTGAAAGCATGATTTTAAATTTTATTTTTATTGTCACTTCGTCTAGGAAGGCAGAGTTTAGCCCAATGGTGCTTTCTGTTTGAAGAGGACATATAGGGAGAGCTTCTCTGCAGAAGCTTTCAATTGGCCTGCAAGCAAGAAGAGCAACCAACCAACCATCTGAAGAGAATCTTCAGCAGGAAAGTGGGTTTCTTAAATAAATATATCATTAAAGTTTTTTATACAGGAGATTTTTCACAAAGAAGATTAAGTAGCTTTTTAACAGAAATGTTGGATGCAAGTCCCGGTAAGCCCCATGCTTTGTGACAAAGGGAGATGAAGTGGGATGGAGCTCCTACTCTGTCTGGAGAAGCCCTAAGACCAGAGGAAGGAGCAGGACATCCCATTAAATCAGTGAGGGTAAAACAATTCATGACAGGCTGTAGGCGGGTCACTGATTCTGGCACCATTAGTGGGCCTTCTGCCCTCACCCCATCCCCATAGATACCAGGTGCACATGGCACACACAGGGTTATTGAAGCACTAAGGGGGCCATCTGAACACAATGCCACCATCCCCCATCCCCAGGGATGCACAGTACGCTCTGTTACTAAGGGTCCAACGAAAGTAGAGAACTAGAGAAATGGGAAGGGCATGAGAAAGAAGGACTCCTAGGGGAACAAGGGAAAGTAATCAGGGTTTTGGCCCCGGGGGAAATAAAACGGGCTTCAGAGTGAGTGAAGGGGGAAGAAGGAAAAACAACCAGGAAAGAAATACACCAGAGGGTGTAGATTACAATGCCAAACTGGAGGAAAAAGAACCAAGGGGCAATGCCCAGGTGGAGGTAGATGACGTGTATTACTCCAGGGAGACCCCAGAACAGAAGGAAGAGGGACTATACAGAGAGGACCCCTGGACTGGGGTCATCATAGAACTCCATGTGCCAAAGGGAGCAGGACTAACATACTGGAACCCTTACCCTTCTGACACCAGGAGCCAACACAGAAGTCCAATCCCTCACTTGGCACATCACCTTTAACCCGTACTGAGCCCCGGGCAGCCCAACCCTACCCAACTGCAATGTTGAAGGAAGAAGAGTTCCAGAGGCTCATCTGGCAGCAGCAACAGGGCTCTCAGGTGCTCACTCAGACTATTGTCCATGCATTGAGGAGCCAGGAGCCATGTCTTCATGGCAGTTGTGCAAACCCTTGCTCTGCAAGGCCTCTGTTTTGGCACCATGTGGGGAGCACCATTGAAAGAGGAATTATTCAACAACCCAAGTGAAGTTAACTAAGAGTGGGAGACAGTCTGAGACTGAGCGGGAGCCAGTGACAACAACAGGCCCCTCCACAGACATTCCCAGAAGTTCCTCAGTCATTTCCCCCCTCCACTCAAGCTGCAATAAACACTTGGTTGGTTGTTGTAGGTTTTTCGGGCTGGCTGGCTGTGTTCTTGAGTCAGAACTCTGTGCTATGGTGCAGTTTTGTAGGATAGTTGAGTATTTATAGCTCCGGGATCAGGTTTTTGTCCTTTTCACGAGATTGGGGGATTATGGTGATCAGCGTGTTTTTTGTTGTGGGTGTATTGTTGTGATAAGGGGGTGAGATGATCTGTCACTGTGATTGGTGGATGTCGTTAGCTGCTCTTTTGTGTGCAGTGATCAACTATCCAACAAACTGCACCAGAGCACAGACAGAATTCTGACTTCTGTCCTCTGAAGATGCTGGCCACAGAGACTGGCAAAACATTAGGAAGAAAAACCTCAAGAACATGGCCAGACAGCCCAAAAAAACCCTACAACAACCAATGGATCCTATACATTAAACACTTGATTGTTTAAGCTACTGTGTATCATGTCCATGCCTCCAGGAATACAGTGGGGTCTTGACTTGAGAACTTAATCCATATTGGAAGGTGTTTCTCAAGTCAAAAAGGCTGTAAGTCAAGTCTCCATTGACCTACAGTGCATTGAAAATCGATTAATCCCGTAACAGGCCATTTTTGTTCCATTTTGGTTTTTTTCTGGTCTGTAAGTCAAATCTCAGTCTGCAAGTCAAACCTAAATTTTGCGGCCAGAGAAGTCTGTAACTCAAAAAGTCTGTAAGTCAAGCCGTTTGTAAGTCAAGGGTCCACTGTAGTGGGACACTAGCCTCACCCATAACTTCCTCTTCCTATCCGGCATAAGGAAATATAATAAATATTACATTTTCCCCTTTCTGTTGCCGTTTTTTTTCTTAGAGTCCTATATAGGCCTTAGTTGGCTACAAAGACATGTCTCTTACCTGGACTTGCAGGGTAGTGTCTTTCTGGAAGGCAATCTGCAGGGAGTTCATCAGATCTGGGTCTCTGGCACTGGAATCTTTAAGGAAATTGATCAGAATGTAGGACAGCCTTTCCTACCCCAGGATTCTAGTCCTGCTGTTCTCAGGCAAGGCTGTGAAAGGCTCCAGTTTAAGATCCTGGTGAGCCATTTTCAATCAGTGCACTGCAGATCAGGGATGAGGACCTTAAAAATGTTGTGGGACTGCAGCTCCCAGCACCCCTCACCATCAACTAGGCTGGCTCTAGCTGTTGGGAAATGCAGTCCAACGTATAGAGGGCTGTAAGTTCTCCATGCCAGTGCAGTTGATATAGAATTCAACAGACCCATCACTGGAGTTGATGAGTGTGAAGGAGAAACAGAAAGAGAGAGATGGGAGTGTGCCCTCTACCCAAAGAAGAGAACCACTAAAAGAGGGAATAAGCAGGGAAATAGAAGGGTTGATTAAAAAAGAAAGAGAGGAAAAAGAAGTAAAGGTGGAAGTTTGTTTGGTGGAAGAAGGAAAGGGAAAGGAAGGGGAGGAGTTAACCTTACCCATGTGGGAAGAGGATAAAAAGAAGGAGGAAAAAGTAGGAGTGTTCAGAGTTCCGCAGGATGAAAGGAAGAAAAAAGGAGAGGTTGAATATAAAAGAGCGTGGGAATTATTGGAAGATTTTCCCAACTTAAAGGTGGGAGGACTATTACCTGACCCAGACCTTAAAGAGAAAAAGGTGACGATTACAGAAACACAAGAATGGACAGTGGTAGTTCTCCCGAGAGGACAAGGTCCTTGGTGGAAGGTAATCCAGCCCGAGGCTCCATTCGATCGACCGCTGTGCGAGGGGGATTGGGCTCGACTCCCCTGCTGTGGGACGATCTGTGCCATGAGGAGTGCTCCGTTGAGGAAGCCCAAGGACAGAGAACGATTCAGACCTGCCCCACAATAGACTCTATAAGTTGTCCTTTTGAACTATTGCCATCTTTGTATAAACAGTTGCCGAATTTGAGTTGTTTCGATTCTGTTGAAGTCATTGTTGAATCCCCATATGTTAAGTTAAATAAATTTGTTGATTGTTCAAATGACTCCTCTTGGTTATTTCCCGCCCAAAGAGAGGAACTGCCACCACCTTCAACCAGTTATTTCCCGCCCAAAGAGAGGAACTGCCGCCACCTTCAACTGAACCCAATCACAATGAGCATCTGTCAGGCATTGATTTCCTACTTTGCCAACAGAAGTGGACCTGCTGATTCTTGGGGGCCCTTGTCATTCTATAATGCTATGATTCTATTATGAGTCTACGAAGAACCGATATAAGGCAGCTCCTCATATTTGTCCTGATCATCAGTTCTTGATTAAGAATCAGCTGTTTTGGACATTGTGACAGGAACCACATAACATATAATTGTGTCATATCACAATCTTTGATGTTCTAACATGCTGTTTTGCTTATCAAAACAAAGAAACAAACATGGCTGATCCTCTAAAAGTTAACCCCAGATCAAGAGTAAGGAGACAAAAATCATCAATAAATATTTCCCTCACTGAGTTTTGAGCTGGCAACACCTGACCAGGAAAGTGATCCTGGAGTTACAGTGGAAAGCTCAACAGAAATGTCAA